TTGGCCGGCCGGCCGGGCGCTGGGTCAGCCGCCGCCGGGGCGCTCGCGATGTCGGGCCCGCCGGCCGCCTCGCCGCCGCCGACGCCCGTGCAGATCCGCGAGGCCAACGCGCACCTGGCCGCGCTGCACGCGCGCGTGGCCGAGCTGGAGCGCCGCCTGGCGGCCGCCGAGCTCACCGTGCGCGGCCAGGCCGAGAGCCTCCTGCGCAAGGACGCCGAGATGCGCCAGGCCGTGCAGGGGCTGCGCCAGGGCAAGGACAGGTCGGCGCCTCGCGCGGGACTAGCGCCTTGCGGAGCCCCGCCCACGCGCGCGAGAAGCGCGCCACGAGGACCGGGAACTGGCCGCCTTCTCTGGGAGCGGGAGCCAAACCACTGCGGGGGCGCCTGGCGCACTGCGAAATGCCCCGTTTGCTTGTACCTCTGCTTTGCCCGCCTTTTACTTACTCGCGTGATATCTCCGTCCTGCCTTCCTTTCCTCTTTCGAGGCGTCCAAGACCGTCCCCATGGCCCTCTTCCCCCTCTCTGCTTTATCCTTACAGCTGACCTGTGAGGTTGGTAAGAGGGAGCGGCGGTAATATGGCAAGCCCGTCTTGCAAAACTTGCTGCCTGTCCAGAAATCCTGGATTACAATTCCCATCATCTCCAGAAAACCTCACAGTATTCCTGTTGATGTTTTTGTTAGTCGCGTCCGACCCATCATGACTCCATGGACCACACTCCTCCCGGCCTTCCTGTCCCCCACCATCTCCCGGAGTCCACCCAAGCTCACCCCCACCACCCCAGGGACCCCATCCAGCCCCCTCATCCTCTGCCGCCCCCTTCTCCTTTTGCCCTCCATCTTCCCCAGCATCAGCCTCTTCTCCAGGGAGTCCTTCCTTCTCATCAGGTGGCCAAAGTATTTGAGTTTCATCTTCAGGATCTGGCCTTCAAAGAGCAGTCAGGGTTGATCTCCTCTAGGACTGACCTGTTTGATCGCCTTGCGGTCCAAGGGACTCGCAGGCGTCTCCTCCGGCACCACCATTCAAAGGCCTCAATCCTCTTGCGCTCAGCCTTCCTTCTGGTCCAGCTCTCACAGCCATGCATTGCAACTGGGAAAACCACAGCCTTGACTATACACACTTTTGTCGGCAGGGTGATGTCTCTGCTTTTTAGCACGCTGTCTAGATTTGCCATAGCTTTCCTCCCCAGGAGCAAGCGTCTCTTAATTCCTTGGCTGCAAACCCCGTCCGTGGTGATCTTGGAGCCCAGGAAAATAAAATCCATCACTACCTCCATTCCTTCCCCATCTATTTGCCAGGAAGTGAGAGGACCGGATGCCATGAGCTTAGTTTTCTTAATGTTGAGTTTCAGGCCAACTTTTGCGCTCTCCTCCTTCACCCACATCAAGAGGCTCTTTAGTTCCTCTTCACTTTCTGCCATGAGAGTGGTATCATCTGCATATCTGAGGTTGTTGATATTTCTCCCAGCAATCTTAATTCCAACTGGTGATTCATCCAGCCCCGCCTTTCTCATGAAGTGCCCTGCATGGTTCCGTGTCCAGTTCTCCCTGTTGCTTCTTGACCTGCGCGGAGGTTTCTCAAGGGACAAGTGAGATGGTCTGGTTCTCCCATCTCTTTAAGAACTTGCAGCAGTTTATTGTAATCTGCACAATTGAAGGCTTTGGTGTAGTCAGCGCCCACCCCATCGTGGTTATCAGGGTCGTTCAGCTCTTTCTTGTATAGATCTTCTGTGTAATCTTGCCACCTCTTCTGAATCTCCTCTGCCTCTGTGAGGTCCCTGCCATTTTGGTGCCATCTGTGCATGAAACGTTCCCTTCATACCTCCAATTTCCTTGAAGAGATCTCTGGTCCTCCCTAATCTATTGTTTTCCTCTATTTCTTTGCACTGTTTATTGAAGAAGGCATTCTTATCTCTTCTAGCTATTCTTCGGAATTCTGCATGCAATTGGGTGTATCTTTCCTTTTCTCCCTTGCCTTTCACTCCCCTTCTTTTCTCAGCAATTTGTAAAGCTTCCTCAGGCAGCCATTTTGCTTTCTTGCATTCCTTTTTCTTTGGGATGGTTTTAGTTGCTACCTCTTGTACAGTGTTGCGAACCTCCGTCCATAGTTCTTCAGGCACTCTGTCTGTCAGATCTAACTCCTCAAATCTATTTGTCACCTCAACTGTATATTCAGCAGGGATATGATTTATGTCATACCTGAGTGGCCTAGTGCTTTTCCCTACTTTCTTCAATTTAAGCCTAAATTTCACAACAAGAAGCTCATGATCTGAGCCACAGTCAGCTCCTGGTCTAGTTTTTTTGGTGTTAATTCTAGAAGGCGTTGTAGGCCTTCATAGAACCGGTCAACTTCAGCCTCTTCAGCACCAGTGATTGGGGCACAGACTTGGACTCCTGTGATGCTGAACGGTTTGCCTTGGATTCGAACTGAGATCACTCTGTCCTTTTGGAGATGGTATTCCAGTACTGCTTTTCCTACTCTTTTCTTGACTATGAAGGCTACTCCATTTCTTCTGAGGGATTCTTGCCCCAGTAGTATACCTGATGGTCCTCTGAATTAAATTCACCCATTCCTGTCCATTTTAGTTCACTGGTTCCCAAGATGTCGATGTTCAGGCTTGTCACCTCTTGTTTGACCACTTCCAGCTTGCCTTGATTCATGGATCTTGCATTCCAGGTTCCCATGGAGTATAGATCTTTGCAGCATCGGACTCTCCTTTCTCCACCAGATATATCCAGAGCTGAGTGTCTTTTCGGCTTTGACCCAGTCGCTTCACTCTTCCTGGCGCTACTAGAACTAGCCCTCTGCTCTTCCCCAGGAGCACATTGGACACCTCCCGACCTGAGGGGCTCATCTTCCGGCGTCGTACCATTTTGCCCTTTGGTACTGTCCGTGGGGTTTTCATGGCAAGGATACTGGAGTGGGTTGCCATTTCCTTCTGCAGTGGGTCACGTTTTGTCAGAGCCCTCTGCTGTGACCTGTCCGTCTTGGGTGACCCTGCACGGCAGAGCTCATCGCTTCATTGAGCCACACAAGGCCCTTATTCTCATTGTCGCATTAGTATCCACGGTTTTCCTCTGGAAAGGAAACCATGGTGGCTCCCATGGCCCTCCTCTGCTGCATTTTATATTCACAACAGCCCTGTGAAGTAGACTGAAATATGCTCAAAATATGCAAGTGTCCTTGATAATAGAAGTACTTGAGTGTACCTTGTATTTCATGTAAAGCAAGACCATTTTTAAGATCCTGCTAAATTGGGCAAACCTTTACCCTGAAATTTACTCTGACATTGCTGTGGGTGCCCTCATCCAGCCCCGTTCCACAGCTCAGACACAGGAGGCGTTACCTCATTCGGTGCTTTTCTTTCCTCCACCAAAGGGAGATCGCCGCCTTGGAGGAGAAGCTACAGTCATCCGAGGAGAACGCCCAGAAACTCCTCCACGTGATCCAGGAAAAGGACGGCATCATCACGCAGCTTCAGCACCGCAGCCGCCTCCTGACCAAGATCTGCCGCAGCCGACCTGTCCTGGACAACCTCCTGGCCTACATGGCCGAAGGGGAGCAGCTAAGCCCCGTCCTTGAACCCGGGAGCAGTCCTGGCTCTCCGGATCGCAGCCCACCCCTGGAGACAAACTGCCTTCCCAGTCCCCCCGTGGATACCAAAGGCTTCTCCCTTGAAGACGACGAGCAGGATCCGGACAGGATGCTGTTTGGGACGACGGTGTGAGCAGCCGTGTCTCCGTGCCGCTCCTGCCGACCAGATACCCCCTTGGGGCACCCTCTAGGTTTGCCGCGGGAGGGAGGGCAGGTGAGCTCCCCGTTCCTTGCTTTGGGGTCCAGCAAGCCAAGACTCGGCAGTGCCGCCTCCAGATCCTGGTGCTCCGGGTGCTCAGTGAGCCGGGAGACGATTCCTGTGAGCTGAGGGGCCACCGGTCGCTCCCCCACACCCATGTGTCTCAGGCCACACGCAGTCACGTTTGGGGGACCAGGGGCCCCCAGGGCTGCCTTCCTCAACCTGGGGCCCTCCAGACGTGAAAGCAGAGCTAGCCAGTTCAGGATCGAGGAGCGGCATGACCCAAATGAAAAAGGGGGCAGTAGGATGAATGTGAGGGGTTGCCGCACTCGGAGCTTTTCCATCACCCCCGTGGGACGCACTCCCCAGCAGGGTTCTGTGCCAGGCTGTGCGGGGCAGCAGTGCCGGGCCTTTTGGCTCGGCCTTTCTGTGGGTCCTGGCTGTGCCGTGTGGTACTCTGCCACAGCCGGGCCCATGGCGCCCGTGACACGACCTCAGGCGTGTTCCTTGTGGGGCAGCGAGAGAACGGCATCTCCCACGCGGCCAGTCTGTGGAATCTGGCGGGGGGAACCCAGGCGATGACGCCCCCCCGCCCTGGGCTCAGCTGCTCTGGAGTGCTGCTTCCTCGTCCTGGCAGCTCCAGACCTCTTCCAAGGCTGCTCGGCCAGCCGGCCAGGGCGGAAGGCAGGGCTGCGTTCAGGTGGGGGTGCTGGGCAGAGGTCTTGGCCTTCATTTCCGTCAGCCTCAGCTGCCGAGAGCCAGCCAGTGCGGCCACGCACCCTCTGGAGGGCCAGAAATCGGCCCGCCCATCCTGTTCAGTTCGTTGTGAACGGTCCACTTCATCCAGTGGCCGCCTGCCCCGCCTTTAGCCAGTGCTCGGGCCACTGGACTGTGCCCAGTGGCTGCCTCCAGCCCCTCTTCGCTTTCACGGGGAGACGCCCTGGTTGGAAGGGGCTTGCAGAGGAGGCGAGAAACGCTTCTTCAGAGAGTTTAGTCACTGTGGGAGCCAGGGAGAAGCTGCCGCCCCAGCTGCGTCCCTCCGCTTTGCCAGCCCTGTTGTCCCTTCCTCACCTGCAGGCGGTTTGGTGTCTCCGTACCTCTTCAAGCCTGCGCCCCCTCGGGATGTGTGGGGACGGGGTCTGGGCCACATTGAACCGGGTGACCGATGGACCTGCCCTCCCTCCCTCCCAGACCCACGCAAGGCCTCCTCTCCCTGCGCACGGGGCCTGTGCTGCCAGAGATCCCAGCGGTTCTGGAGGAGCGCAGGGGTCGGCTCTGTGCCACGTGTGACTGCGGCGTCTCTGTGGGGCTGAGCATGTTCCGTGGGGCTGCTCATACCCTCTCCCGGCTTTTAAAGTTGGGGTCCCGCTTGCTTCACCTCTTCGCAGCCTGTGGTTGAATTTCCACCACCTGTTTGCCGCTAGTCCTTTTTTCCTGAACCATTGGAATAAACTCCGAGCGGCCGTCCATAACACTCTTCCGAGGGGCGAGCCTCGCGGAGCCTGAGAAGACGCCCCGTGGGGCGGCGCTGCACAGCTTTGGTCTGGGGCGCGGCAGCTCCTCTGCCAACAGGGAAGCCCCTTAAGTGCCTGCAGGGACTTGGGTATTCTAGGTCCTCCGTCTAACTTCTTCCTCAGAGCAAGAATAAATTAAATAAAACCTATTTCGAATACTCGCGTCTGTGTGCCCGGCCTCGCCTGCCTGTGGTTTTCTCCTTTCCGGTTGGCCTATTTTGCATCCAGCTCTGGTCTGCAGCCATGTGACAGCCCAGCCTCACCTTTTGAAGCTGTTAGATTTATGGCGCAGACGGCGCCACTCCGGCCGGGCCGCTTCCAGGCGGAGAACGGGGCGCCCCCTCGAGGCTCCAGGGAGACGGCCCACAGCCCTCCCTCCAGCCCTGGCGGCTTAGGGCAGGCCAGGCCCCAGGGCTTCCCCTCTGCTGGCCGGGGCCCTAGAAGGTGCCATGAGACGCTTGGCCAGGCGGGGAGAAGGGTGGGTCCCATCTCGGATACATGGCGCGATCGCGAGCAGCTTGGAGGCAGTTGGCAATGGTGAGCGGGCACTTCGAGGCCACAAGGAAGTTGCTGTGTGTGGGGGGTGGGGGCTCAGAAAGGCCCTCAAAGGGCAAGCAGACCAGCTCCCGATGAGGGAGAGGGCTGCTGGAGGGCACGGGCCCCAATGGCTACACCGAGCCTCCAGGGATGGGCGCAGTCTACCACCAAACTGAGCAGAGGAATGTCGGGTCTGCGGGGTGCCTGCTTCTTCAGAGGGTCTGGTGTGTGCTGACTGATCCAAGGTGCCCACACAGGTCAGGGGCCAGTTGCGGGAGGGCTGGCAGGGCAGCGGCCCTTGATGGATGGAGGCCGGCCTCTGCCGGACAGGCTCCGCGGCCCAGCCAGCGCCCCACTTTGCAGAGGGCGGTTCTCTCCTCGCAGGCGTCCTTCCTGCTGGCCCGCCCGGCCTGGTTCAGTCATGGAGCTGGGGGGGGGGGGCGGGGGGCGGCTCTGCCATCGAGAGCCTGCTGACTGCACTCAGCAGATCAAAATCCCCGAGCGGCTCACGTCGGGTCGGCTGCCTCACAGCCCTCGGGGGCCAAGGGAGTGGGCGCACGGGCTCCTGCTGGGGCTTCCTGCAGCGGCGGTCAGGGGCCTCGTGTCCAAACCATGCTTCACCTGTGGCTTCTAAGACATGGCTCCTCAAACTATGGCCCGCGGTGGAATTCGGCCCGTTTATCTGGCCCACCTGAGGCTTAGGACTTGCGGCACCCGTGCCTGCTGCAACCGGCTTTCAACTGGCCCGGTTGGGAAAGTTTGAGGACCCCTGTGCTAAGAACACCCGTTTTCTGACTAACCCGTCGCTTCACACTTGCACCTGGTGCCTAATCTGGCGGGTGCCATGGGTGGCCCCTTTCTGGGCAATGCGCTTCCTCTTGGGGCGAGGCATCGGCTGCTGCTGCAATCCGGCGTCCCGGAAGGGGTGGCATCCAGCCCAGCCCTGCGCTTTGCTCGGCAAGTGGCTGCGGGCCCGCCCCTCACCTCTCCCTCCTGGGCACTCCTGCCACGTCGCTGATCCATCCGCCGGCTTCCTTCCTGGGCTGCTTTCCAGCCCGGCCCCGGCAGGAGGCCGGCCTGGCAACCGAGCAAGGAGATTGCCATGGAGACTGGGCTCGCCCGATGCCAACACAGCCGCGGAGCCAGGATCGCAGGCGCACAGGCGAGAGGGTCCAGGTAGGCACAAAGCGCCCCGGAGAGCCAGCTGGGGGGGGGCCAGGCGGGGGGGCGCCGAATGCCCCCTACTTTGGGTTCCTGGCAGAGGGAGCCTGTCCGAGCCTGGACTGGCCCCGCCGCCTCGTGCAGCAGAGCTGGCCGAGGGCTCTGCAGCCGCTTAAGAGCAGCCTCGTCTGCCTGGAGCCACCCGGGTGGGCTGGAACGCAACTCCCATCATCCCCCGGGCCATACTCAAAGACAAATGAGGGGTGCCAGGGTTGCGTCCTTTTTGTTGACACTTCTCTGGCCGCCAGCTTTCATAACGTGCGGCTTACTCATCAAATGCCTGGGCCATTCGTTCACACTGTTAAGAATAACCCGCCTTGTTTCCTCCGGCAAGAAACTCAAAGTGGCTTCCATCAGGTCCTCCTCTATGTTTCAGCCTCACAACAGCCCTGTGAGGTAGTTCAGCTGAGAACCTGTGGCTGCCCCAGTGAATCACACGGCAGGTGCTGGAGCTGGGATCTCCATCCCGCCAGCCACCCAAACCTCTCCAGATGAGGCCGTGCACCCAGTGAGGCCAGCCGCTGTCCACAAAAGCTCTTGACGGCTGCGGGTGCAACCCCACTGAGCTGAGCGGAGGCGGTCTGTCTCCTGCTTTCTGCCACAGGGTGACCCCCCGCAACACACCCATCCAGGAAATTGCAGAAAGCATATTCGATATTTAATGTACTACTTGAATACTGAACCATTTAATGATTATTTACCCGCAATACTTCTACACCACCAGGTGGAACGGAATCCTCAAGTGAATTGTGCGTGAAGCGGAAAAGGTGAGTTGGGAGAGGCTCTCCGCACCTGGTGGCGGAGTTCAGTCCTTAACGCTCTGCAAAGCCGCCCGGGCTGAAAGGCAGAGCAGGCCTGGGGCCTGCAGCTGAGCCCCTGATGGGGTGCAGTGGGCCCCGGGCACCTCTCCACATCCGCCTGGCTCCCTGCCCCTCCTCACTGGGATGTATTTCTGAGAGATGCTTAAAGGGTCAGAGCAATTCTTGGGTCTGACATGCTGCAGTGGCACCATCTTCCCGTGGGCCGGAAAGAGCTGTGTGGCGCTGCCACGGGCTTCGTCCCAAGGACAAGCTGCTCCTCTCCTGCCTCACTGGGAGTGGAGTCCCTGTGCCCAGACACGCCTGCCGCAGTAGGCCTGCCCCCCATGGCGATGCGGGGGCAGCAGCTGCCACCTTGGGGGAGGGCTGCCAACCCTCTCAATCCCACACGTGGCTCCGGCCCTTAAACAAACAACAACCACCCTCCGCTCGGGGGATCCGAAGCACCCTTTTGGTCTGAGGAAGAGGGAGGTGAGGGGGCTCTTCAGACACGCTTGCCCCCCTCTGCAGTCTCGTCTCGACGCAAACCCTCCGAGCGCAGAATGGCGGCGAACGCTGGTGCCATCGAGAAGCTGCGGGTGAAGTGTCTGCAAAGAGGTGCTTCTGGCATCAAGGGAGTGGCAAGGTACGGTGTCGTAGGGTGGGGAGCTGGAGGCCTGGGGCCAATTCTAGCCCACCGGAGGCCTCCGGGGGTACAACCCCATTCTTCTGCGGGGTCAGTTCTGCAAACCCAAACACAAAGGGTGAGCAGGCCCCTTGATTCAGTTTCATTCATGCCTACGAGAGCATCTGGCGTACCCCTACCCACCCCAAGGACTAGTACCTTACTTTTGCTGTTTTGAGTGAACGCCAAGAATCTCTCAGGAAGATGGATTCTGCAAAGCAAAACAGCAAGGAACGCAATTTGCCTTGTATTCCAAGCTGCCTTCAGGTTCTCTCTGCCTCTCCATCATTGCAGGTTTTTCCGCATCATGGATGACGACGGGAGTAAGTCTTTGGACCTGGAGGAGTTCCTGAAGGGCCTCCAGGATGCCGGAGTCCCTTTGGAGCGAGGGGAAGCCCAGGAGATCTTCAGCCTCTGCGATAAGGACGGGAGCGGGACCCTGGACTTCAACGAGTTCCTGAAGATCCTGCGGGTGAGCAGGCGGGAATTCTTCAGCTGAGCTTGAGGCTCGGCCAAGTGGCGCTTGGAGAGGTGATGCTGACCGCAGGGGCCTGAAATACACGACGGCGGGCCTTCGCTCTTGCCCGCTTTAGCCATTGGGACAGAGCGAATGGGGGAGAGCCGACCCCAGAGCTGGGAAGCCAGGATCCCAGTAGTGCTGGCAGGTGGCGGCGAGCTGCCCGGGCGGGCCAGATTTGGCCCCTGACCCAACCAGCATCCAGTTTCTGACATCCACATCTCCAGAGATCATTCCCAAGCGGGGCGCGACTTCATTCTCCCCCATCTCGGAGGCTTTCGGCTTCTGATTGGTGTTCCTGTTGAAGGTTGTGGCTCAAATTCACTGGAAACTGGAGGAAAATTGTGCGAGCTACAAACAGCCCCCCACTTCTTTCTTTCAGCCCCCGATGTCTAAGGCCAGGAAGGAGATCATCGCGGCTGCATTCCAGAAACTGGACAGGACTGGGGACGGATTGGTGACGGTGGAGGACCTCAGAGGCGTCTACAACAGCCAGTCCCACCCCAAGTTCAGGAGCGGCGAGTGGACAGAGGAACAGGTCTTCCGAGCGTTCCTGGACAGCTTCGATTCCCCGGACAAAGACGGGAAGGTGGGTGAGGGGGCTCCTGGGGGTGCGTCTGGTGGGCCCCCAACCTAGGCCATCAGCAATGCCCAGCACCGCTTTGGGCTACAATGCACTGCCGGGCAGCGTAGTCCAAAATTGGTGGCTCAGGGAAGCATGGCTGGGCTCCCTCGAGGGGATGGGAGTCCGAGCTGCAGAGAAACCGTGCGGTGCAAAGCCTACGGGAGTCCTCACGTGGCTGCAAAGCCCTCTGCTGGCTCTGGGCCGGCCGGTGCCTGTCAGCCTGGCCTACCTTGCAGGGCTGTTGGAGCACAGCATGGGGAAGAGAAGGGCTAGGGAAACCACCATGGGTTCCTCAGGGGAAAGAGCTCAGTTCAGCAGTGGAAAAAGGCAGACACAACCAAGCCGACCATTCACAGCCCTAGAAGTCAACCAAGATGTGTCGGACTGGTGGGGACTCCTTCCCAGGCGGGGTGCGCCACCAGCCAGGGAGGGCCAAGCGCGGCCGTGGGGACGGCTTGCCATCAGGGGGCCATGCCAGCGGCATGCCGGCCCCACACGTGCCTGGTGCGTCTTTGCAGATCACACCGGAGGAGTTCCTGGACTACTACAGCGGAGTCAGCGCCTCCATCGATGACGACGGGTATTTTGTGGACATGATGAAGGCGGCCTGGAGGCTGTAGCGGTGCCACGACGGGGAGCCCATCAGCCTCCGCACTGCTCCCGCCGGCGAAGGGCACGGGCGCCCGCAACAGCTGGCGCGCAGGGCAGGGCCAAGGCCGGACGGCCACTGTCTGGCGGAGGCTTCCCATTCCCCGCCCGCAGGTGACGTCCAAACATACGTAGAAAGCGGCTTGCACTGTAGAGAGGAAGCCCGGCTGCCCCACAGCCTCCTCTGCCCTTCGCTGCTTGTGGGGAGAGCATTAGAAATGCTAGTTGGGATGAAGGGGTCTTTCACCCTCGTTTAGGCCTGGCCTGAGGCTGCAGCCTCGTAGATGCCGCCCCAGCTGTGCTTCCTTGTGTCGAAATCGCGAATAAAGCCTGCGTCTGATACAGACTTAAGATGCTTGGCTGCTGTTTCCCAGAAGGGCCTGCAAGAGATTTATGGGGCGCCTTTCTCCTCCAACAGGGGCTGCGGGAGCAGGCGCAAAATCTGCAGACACGGCATGGTTCCCGGCATTCGGGTGCCTGGGCCATGCTGGCCGAGGCAGAGCAAAGGGAAGGCTCAAAAGAGCCAATCAGCTGGCAGAAGGCTTGGGGGTGGCCAAGGCATAGGGTTTGCAGGGGGGGAGAGGGGCCCCTTGCTTCAGAGCTGCCTGCCCTTTTTTTCTGCCGGGTGCAGTGCAGCCCCGTGGGTCAGATCCAGCCCTCCAGGGCTTCCTGGGAGCTCCGGGCAGGGAGATCTTTGAGCAAAAACAGGCCGACGTTTCTGGTATCGGTAGCTTTGCCCCACTCTGTGTCCTTGGCTCTGCCCTGCAGGACTGCGGTGCCACAGCAGCCCCGAAAGGAACACCGGTTCCGCACCCCAGCCGCACCATTTTCGGGAAAGCCGAGGCTGCGACCCCACACAGGCCACGCTGCCACACGAGCCTGCCTCGGGCTGGCTGTGCACCAGGCGCTGGGAAGAGGCGCCCGCGGAGTGCCCCTTCCCTGCCTGCACGTGCCGTGCTCCAGACCCGCAGCCGAGCAGAGTGGGAGCCTCAGACAGGAGGGAAGCTGGCCCACATTGCTAATTTTGCAAAAGGAGGCCAACCCTCCAGCTTAGTACCTCAGGAACGGGTTGCTAATTAGGCGGCTAATTAAAGTCCACCTCTCTCTCGGTTGCAGATTATTGTGCCTGCTTTAGAAGGATGCTAAAGGAGGGGCAGCTCCACACCACAGGGGGGTGTTCTCTAATCCGTCTGGCCACCAGGGAGCTTCTGGCTGTGCGTCAGCAGGATTTCACAGGCGGCTGGAATCGCCTGAATTCCCGTTCAATTGTAAAATGAAGGTGGCGAGTTCGCAAAGGTCCCTGCAGTCTCGGGAGGCCAAAAACAATTCCAAGTTTTGGAGACAGCGTCACGATCTGACAGTGCTCTCCCGATGCGCAAACCTGGTGTCAATTACTCCAGGTGCGCTTATGCGAATTGAATAAGGTTGTGTGGTTTCTAACGGGAGGAATATCTGCATTGCGAGTGAGTTTGTTCTTTCAAAGCAAGGAATACATAGAATTGCCACCGGCTGGTTCTGCCCCACCTGAATCCAGAGGAGGACTCTCTCCCGTGGAGGCGCTATGCCTTAAGCTCCGTACGTGAGTGTGCACACCTGGTAAAGCCAGTGCTAGCAGGGGCCGGGGCACACGTCCGCATGCACACGCTGCGAAACGCACACGCCCCAACCCAGCCCCCTGCTTATTCCGAGAGCAGGGAAAAAGGGGGTCTGCAGCTCGCGTTCAGCTTTGCCCTCTCATTGGAAACTAGAGAAGCGGCAGGCCATGCTGGGATGCGGACTTCGAGGGCCCCTCCTTGGCACATTGTGCCCTTCGGGTCCAGAGGACTTGGTTCGAGGGAGGATTCGTACCAAACGGCATCAGCCACAGCTAAGTCAGGTGTGCGCAAGCCTCTTGGGCATCCAGAGCTGGCCAGGGTCCCTAGAGAGATGGTGACTGTGGCAGGACACAGCCTGGGTTTGGTGTTCGGGGGGCGGGGGGGGGGAAGCACTCCTGGGTCCCAGTGAGCAGAACGAGGCCAGTGCCACGCCCTCCCTCCACCGCCCTGCTCCATCCCCATCTGGTCCTCCCGCTGGAGGCCGGGCCCAGAAGCCTAAACATGTTTCTACCTCAGCTTTTAAAATCACAGTTCTTTATAAAAATTGGCTGTCAAAAGCTAATGTGCTTTTAAGTATTTGCAAGCAATCTTGATTTATAACTCAAAGGTGGGGAAGGGTGAACGAGTAACCTAGGGCGAGGGTGCCTTTTGAGAGAGGAATCCACAGTCGAATGAAGCACAGCCAAGCTTCAAAAGCAGCCTGAGAAGCCGCCACACCCATTTCAAATACCAAGATAAGGCCACACTTCTTTGCTCCATTCCCACGCGGAGAACTCCAAGAGGCGTCCTCGAGTCTGGGAGAAACGCAGGAGGAAGCCTGTTCTGGCAGGCTGGAAAGCGGGCCTGCGCAAGCGAGCCTGTCTTTAAACAGGCCTCCTCGCGAGCAAGCAATTCATCCGGAGACAGGCTGTCCCTGCCCGTTCAGGGCGTTCGTTCGGCCTGGAGAGCCACAGGCAACCGGCACAGGCCTGGGGAGGAGGCGCTCACCGTACCGTGTGCTGGTCAGCAGCCGATCCTCACGCGTTTGCAGCAGGTGAAGCTGCCAGCGCCGCCCTCCGTGCCGGCACACGGAAGCAGTCTCCACACGAAGCAGCCGAGGCACGAGAACTGCTGCTACGGGGACAGGGTGTGCCCCAGATGCCCCCGACCCGCCTGCGGCATCACCTGAGCCAGGTGGCCCTGTGGCGGCGAGTCCCACAAGTGAATTTACCGAAAAGCGGCACCCGGAAGCAGAGGAGCGTGGCTCTCTTCCCCTCCCTTTCCCCAGGCAGAGAACAGAAAGCGTGCCAGAATTTTTGTTACAAGGGTTTTTTTAATGTAATTCCCAAATACATCTGATATGACAATTGTACAGAAGTCTTCCAAAACACATGGGCATTGTCTGATTTTGCTTTTCTTAGCTTGTCACTAGTTGGCTAACGATTTGAAGCAGAAAGTAAAGTGGTAAGCCCGTCTCCGGCCTGGCCGGCACGCCATCCTCCCCGGGAAGCACCCACAGCAAGAGTCCTCCGGATGGCTGCCTCGCCAGGGCAAGGCCCGTGCCCTTCCGCAACGAACACGGCATCTCCTCCCCCTCCTTTGCCACAGGTGATCCGTCTGAGTCCAAACCACCATATCCATAAATAGTTCCCACAAGGATGCTTAAAAAAAATATTAACTCCGAGAGAAACTGTTTCAACGTTGCATCGAACCCAAACATGCCCAAAAAACCAGCCAGCTCTCATCCTCTTGGCGCCTCGTTCAATGCCAGCTACTCACACGCCACCGTTCACACATGCACACACAACCCAAAAGGGACCCCTGCTAGGGCCCGGCTGCTCCAAGGGATGCGGGCCAAACAGACCTCCAATCCCTCCCCGCTATGCCAAAGTAGCGCCATTTTAACCCACTCCCTTTCACACCGAGAATCGTAATTCCATTCCACCTGCATTAACCAATCCAAGGGGAGTCAACTTCCTCAGCCTGAGCTGCAAATAGTCCCCCTGCCAGCCCAGTCCCCATAACCTCTGCCCACGAGTTACCGTCTCAGTTGGTGTCTCTGCTACTCAGCAGCTGGTCTGGGCCTCTGTGCTGCACCTTTCTCTCTAGGCAGGGCAGAGAGAGAGAGAAGCCGGAGGACTTAAATGGGAAACCTGGAGGACAGTCACGCACCGACTCCCTGGTGCCAAGAACAGGCGGCTTTTCCTCTCCCTTGTCTCGTTAATGAGCTGGCGGGCAGAAACAGAAAGAGTCAAAGGGAATTCACACGGCTGTTGGCTCCTCAGAGGTCACACACGCAGAAACCCTGCACGGGCCTGGAGCACACAAGCACCCAGGCACGCTCTGACACGGGTGCGCAGGTGTCGTGGGCCCCCAGTACTGGCAGCTCCTCGCTGCTGGCTGTGCCCGGGGGCACCTCTGGCAGGCCGGAAGCCGCAGTGCCACATCCGAGAGGCGAGGAGGAGTCATGCGGTCTCCGCCCACCCCGGTTCCCCATCACAGCCCCTTCTCCCTCTGAAGCAGAGGTGGTCCAAGGCCCCCGTCAAAGGCAGCCCTCACGGACGGGGTGCCAACCCTTCGAGGCAGCAAGTCAAGGGAGCACGTGCCCCGCGGTGCTTTCCCGTGCCCGTGCCCTTGCCCCACCCTGCGCTGGGGCGCGGGCTGCGTGCTCTGCGGGCCCACAACCATTCCGAGCCACTCGTGTTTGCTCAGGCACTGCAAAAACGTTTGGAGAGGAAAGCCCTCCCATCCAAGAAAGGTTAGAAAAGGTCCAACTTAAACAGGGTGCTTTGGGCTCAGCGCTGGAGCCATGGGGCAGCTGGCTGTGCTGCCCGCCCAGCTTGTCAGGCGCCGGCCGAAGTTCCGCGCCAAGCCGACGGGGGAACGCGCTCGGGGCCGGTGCATGTTCTCGGCTGCTGGCCCCTGTGGCTGGCTCACACGCGGCGGAGCGGCTTCCTGACCAGCCGTTAAGCTCCTCGCCGAGGCCAGAAAGAAATGAGGCTCCTCAGAAGCAAAAAACACAACCTGGTATGTTAACACCTGTTATATATACACATAGAGAGGTTGGTGTGTGTTTTGTAGTGTGTGTGCACGTGTGTGTATATTCATGTATTGTGGCTTTGCTCTCCCTTACAGAGTAACAGAAAGTGAACAGTAGAAAAATGGAAAGAGCCCACCTGCTCAAGACACAAGAGTTCTCTTATTCAAAATGAAAATAAAAAAGACATTATCGCCACAGTAGAAGTCCAAAACATCAACAGTAATATAAGAACCAAAGGAAGGGACCATTAGCAAAAGCACTCTGCACTCCAGAGTGTCAACGTCTTTTCCAAGCTCAGCAAGCAGCTTTCGTGTCATTCTTCACCTTTGAGGGAAACAGAAAACAAGAGGCCCAAAGCAGTGCAGGCACCTGCGCAGTTCGCTGGGGCAAACGGGTTGAGAACTGAGGTCTTCCAGCTGAAATCCAGCTCCCTTGCAGGGCCCGAGTGGGGAAGAGGCAGGCGGCGGGACTTACAAAAGGATTCCACGTGGGAGAAGTCCAGAGTGCTCCTGGAGACGAGGGGCCAGGGAGAGTGAGCCGGCGGGCGGGCGGGTGGGCGGGCGGGCGGGCGAGAGACTGCATGTCGGGATGCAGGGTCCCACGGGCAAGCTGTGGCAAGTCTCGAAGTCTCTTTCCCACAACCGCAAATGTGTGTGGGGGAAAAGGAATCGGTTTTTCTTCCCACTCATCAATATGATGAGCATGTAAATGTCCCAAAACCACATTCGGCCAGTTTTGTCCAAAGTCTGCTGTGTTTTGCTTTTTTTTGTTTAATATGGAATCAACTGATCCAGCCCCCACCCCCCAAAAATCCATCACACACACACATGAAGGAGGAGGAGGAGGAGGAGGAGGGGGAAAAGAACAGGGGTGCAGAGTCTGAATCGCGGCGCCTCCGTCGCTGCCTGGGCAAGAGTTGGCCTGGGGCGCAGGTCCAGAGGGGCCTGCTCGGGGTGTTTCCGGCAGCAGCTCTTGCAAGCCGAGCGGACGGCGGCTGCTATGTGCTGCTGGCCGCTGGCCCGTCCCCTCCGTCAGTGGGGCCTGCAACGGGAAGTGAGGACGCAGTTCAGTGCAAGCCCAGAATCACGGTTTGCCCCGGAGCAACGAAACCAGAGCCCAGACACTGGGCGAGGACAGCGGCCCCCACCGTTAGGACTTCATCCAAAAGCCCAGATGTTTACACCCAAGAAAGCACATTCCCCTACCCACCTGAAGTGGCCCCAGACAGCGGGAGCCGGCAGTTCCCCAGGCTGAGCAGCAGGAAGGTCGAGAAAAAATGCGAACCGCTGCTCCACACGGAGAGCGCAAAACCAACCCTGTCGCAGGCGACTGCCAGGGAGGCTCTGGCTCGCCCAGGAATTCGCTTGCTCATTCGCAGCAGGGGCTCCTTCGAGCCAGGGGCTGAGCCCCAGGTTTTGGCCCAGGCTTTGGTGCTGGCTAACGCTGGGGCTACTGACCACCCGGCGGTTCCCTGGCCTTTGGCCAATAGCGCCTCTCCTGTCCAGAGGACTAGAAAGCCTCGCCTGGGGCTTAGTGGGCAGCAGCGGACGCTTCTGCCTCAGTGGCTTGTATTCGGGGCACGTGGCTCCAGGCTGATCACCTTTAGCCCCTGCAGGCAGCTCCAGAATGAGATTGGGCCGCTGTGCCGCAGGAGGGTTCTCACTCCTCTTTCAGAAGAGACACGCCCCCAAATGCAGAGCAGCACCAGCAAGCATAACCCGACTGCCCCCCGCCGGTAAGCGAAGCCACGCAGGGATGTCGCACGGTGTCAAAGGGGCCCCTCGGCAGGACGCGTGCTGCCCGCCCTCTTTCCTTTTCCCCAGTTCCGCCCTCGGGGCTGCCCGGCCGCAGCATGTCCCCGGCACACGTGGGTGGCAAGACGAGGTGGCGCTCTGCCCCCGCTCCGCCCCGACCCCTCGGCCAAGCACTCGGGGGCACCGTGAGGCTGGGCCTGCCTGGGCCGATTCTGCGGGAAACCACGGGCGCGTCTTTGAGAACACGGCCGAGTTCATCTGGGGAGGGGGGCAGCCCCATGTGCGGCCTCAGAGCGCGGCAGCGGGAATCCTGGGAAACGGCTCACCACTCCCGGGAGACCCTGAGGGAGCAAGGACGTCATCGTCGCTGTCCTCCTCGTTCGACTGGGTCACTTCCGGCTCCGGAGCGGCGTTCTTGGCCTCCTGCTCTTGTTCCACGTGGCTCCGCAAGGCCAGGATCCGGTGGTGCAGAGCTGCGTACAGCTGTCCTGTGTCTTTGGAACTCGCCTGCAGGAGGGAAGGCACCTCCTGCTGACAGGCCCGGAGCCAACGCTGCGTCGCCCCGGCCAGGGAGGGACACGGCCGGCTCTCCAGGGGGGAGTGCAGCTCTCGCACCCCGAGGACTGCACTGGGGGGTGGTCATGGGGAGCCCCCCCCCGGTTTGCCTCACCAAGGCCAGCAAGGAAAGCCCCCCGCCCCCGTATGCCCAGTCACTCAGGGGCCGTGCCTGGTAGGACAGCCCACTTACAGTGGCCTGAGGCTGGGACCTGGCCTCCTGGGCAGCGGGGTCGTCCCCACGCCTGTGGGTGGAAGCCTCCCAGGACAGGTCGGCTGGTGCCAGAGGAAGGAAGGGCGCTCTGGCTGGGCCTCGCACAGCCACTCCCAACTGCGGGAATCCTACGGGGTCGAGGCTTGCCAGCTCCAGTCTACGCCCACAAACGGCCATTTAAAGAGTGACGGGGGGTTATAAGAGGTCAACAAATGTCAGTTATAGTAAGGAGAGTATTAAATATTAACTATTACATTGAGAAGCACAACATGAAGGCGAACATATTAGCGCTAGATATATTTAAAGCCTCTGACTGTGTGGAATGGCCAAGAACAAAAATCTTAATAGAGAAGATGGGATTTGGAATAAAATCTAAGAAAGAAAGAAATTATATTCAGAAAATATGGCAAAAATAATTGTAAATGATGGTATTACAGAAGCAATAACCTTAAGCTGAGGAACGAGACAGGGTCGTCCCTTAATCCCCAGTATTATTTGCTTTAAAGATGGAAGTATTGGCAAACACAATTAAGAATGATATACAGATAGAAGGAATTTGAGTATGTCAGAAAACTAAATTTAATGTATTTGCACACCATTGCACTCATTCCACATGCTAGCAAAGTTATGCCCAAAATCCTACAAGCTCGGCTCCAGCAGTATGTGGACCGAGAATCACCAGAAGCACAGGCAGGGTTTCGAAGAGGCAGAGGAACTAGAGGTCAAATTGCCAACATACACCAGATCATGGAGAAAGCTCGGGAGTTCCAGAAAAACATCTACTTCTGCTTCACTGACTAGGCTAAAGCCTTTGACTGTGTGGATCACAACAGATTGTGGCATGTTCTTAAAGAGATGGGAGAACCAGACCATCTTATTTGTCTCTTGAGAAACCTGTATGTGGGTCAAGAAGCAACAGTGAGAACTGGACACAGAACCACTGACTGGTTCAAAATTGAGAAAGGAGTTTGGCAAGGCTGTATACTGTCCCCCTGCCTATTTAACTTATATGCAGAACACTTCATGAGAAAGGCGGGGCTGGATGAATCACCAGTTGGAATTAAGATTGCCAGGAGAAATATCAACAGCCCCAGATATGCAGATGACACCACTCTCATGGCAGAAAGTGAACTGAAAAGCTTCTTGATATGGGTGAAGGAGGAGAGTGCAAAAGTTGGCTTGAAACTCAACACCGAGGAAAAGAAGATCATGGCATCCAGTCCTCTCACTCCTGGCAAACAGATGGGGAAGAAATGGAGGTAGTGACAGATTTCATTTTCCTGGGAGGAAAGCTATGGCAGATCCAGACAGCAGGCTAAAAAGCAGAGACATCACCCTGCCAAAAAAGTGTGTATAGTCAAGGCTGTGGTTTTCCCAGTTGCAATGCATGGCTGTGAAAGCTGGACCATAAGGAAGGCTGAGCGCCAAAGGGTTGAGGCCTTTGAATTGTGGTGCGGGAGGAGACTCTGCAAGTCCCTTGGACCGCAAGGCAATCAAACCCGTCAGTCCTGGAGGAGATCAGCCCTGACTGCTCTTTTGAAGACCAGATCCTGAAGATGAAGCCCAAATACTTTGGCCACCAAACGAGAAGGAAGGACTCACTGGGGATGCTGGGAATGACTGGGGCAAAAGAAGAAGGGGATGGCAGAGGATGAGGTGGCTGGATGGGGTCCCTGGGGCGGTGGGTGAGGGGTTGGGTGGCCTCCGGGGAAGGTGGAGGACAGGAAGGCCTGGAGGAACATTGTCCATGGGGTCACGATGGGTCGGACACGACTTCATGACTAGCAACAACAATATTGTTAACTTTTCAAGATCCAATAAATACTAGAGAGAGAATATATTTACTTTTAAAGGAATTTGGGAAGTATAGTGGGCTGCAAGTTAATATTGGAAAAATCGGAAATGATGTTGTATAAGCGTAATAGTGAAGAATTGGATATATTAAAAATATAAATAGTAGACAATATTAGATATTTAGGAACTGATATTCCAAAATATAGTCAAGAATTAAAGAAGAAAAATTATGAAAAGGTAAGAAAGGATATAAAGTTGAAATAGGAAAATATGGAAAGGTAAAATTATCATGGTTTGGAAGAACAGCAGTAAGAAAAATGAAAATTCTGCCAAAGATTAAGTTTTTGTTTTGGATGATCCTAGTCAGGTTTTATGACCAAGAATTAAACGAAATGCAGAATTTATTTATTGTAATGGAGGGGAGAGAACAAGAATAAGTAAAGCACTATGGAATGATTCTCAAAAAAAGGTGGGCTGGGCATTCCAGATGTTAAAAAGTATTGGGCTGCAAACCAATTAGATAGTTCCAGATATTATAGCCCAAAGCAAAGAATATGGAATGATATTGAATTAAAAGAATTAAGGGAAATAGGTGATCAGGTAGAGATATACTAGCTTAAAAAGGACATTAAAAAGATTATTAAGAGAATTCAAAATCCCTTTTTAAAAAATACGATGGAAGTATTGGAAAAATGGAGACACCAGTTAATCCTGGGAATTTCTCCATTAACACTACTGGTCAAAATGGAGAAATTTCCAAAAATTGAATCAAAGGATTGGATTAATAAATTAAAAATAATCATAGGACTGATATAAATCAAGTTAAGAAAGAACTGATGCTAAGCTTGATAATGGCTACTAGGATAGTGATAATTAAATACTGGAAACAGAACTGGATTACGCAAAGGCATAAATGGTGTAATGAAATACGGTAATTAATGAAAAACTGACAACAGAAATAAAAATTTTAGAAGGGTTAATAACAGCAAATAATTATGATGAAATTGGGGAAGATTTTGTAAAAGCAGTATTGATAGGAGGTGAAAGTTGTAAGCCTAATCAAGATTATATGAATTTTTGGAAGGAATATGGATATACTTGAAGTATATTATATATTATTGTTACAATATATGAATTAAAATGGAGATCTTATTGGTCTCCTGGGTGGTGTGGGCACTGTATTATTTACCTTTTCATTCATTAGCTGGGTTTTTGTATGTTATATTATTGATATTGTGATGTGTCTGTATTTATGTTTTTTTGTTTAAAAAAAAATCAAAAAGGGGGGAAGCGGGATGGGGGCCACCCCTTTGTTCCTGCTCCCAGCGGTCAGCGGACGTGGCAACGCTTCGCACGGAGGCAGGGCCCAGCTGTGCCTGCCGTGCGTCCCGGCCTCCCAGGGTGGCCTCTTCCCTGAGGTGGGGGCCGCGCGGAGCCCTACCGAGATGAGGAACACCTTGACTCCCTGGTCCTCGGTGTCCATGGCCGTGATCCGGATGCTCTTCTCGCTGGCTTTGTCGATCTGCATCTGCGCCCACAGCTTGGTGTTCAGGATCAGCCGCAAGCTGCCCTGCGTCCTCATGACTGCGTGGGGGTAGAGGAGGGTGAGGGCGGGCGGCGGAGGCGCGCGGGTCCGAGCGCTGCCACCCCACCCCAGCGGACGTGGGGCGCTCCCTGCAGCGGCTGCCATGTTGGGCCTCCCGGGCAGGGCCTGGGGAGCACGCGGCCCCCTCCTAGCCGCCCCCCCGCCTGTCCTGGCACTGGCCGCCCGTGCTCTCACCCAGGCGCGACTGCAGCGTGCCGTCGTCCGTGGACGCCATGTCGTTCAGCCGCAGGAGCCCTCGGCCCCTCTCCACCCAGGACTGGGAGAGCTTGTCGAAGACAAACAGCTTGCACTGAATCTGCCGCAGAGAAAACAGCCGGGGTTTTAAAAGATCTTCTGCTCGGGACACGGGAGGGGGAGAAAGAAGCCGTGCGGCTCAAACCCGCCAGCACGTGGGCGAAGCAGCTGTGTCTGTGGCTCCCCGGAGGCCCCGTGGCTGGGGACAGCCAAAGCCATGCAGGTGCACGAGAGCCGACTGCCAGGGCCGTGCCCCCCGGCCCCGCTCACCTGCAGGACGTTGCTCTCGGCCTCCTCTCCCGTGATCACCTCCACCTTCTCCAGGAGGCACTTCCTGGCCGTCGCCTTGGTGTAGGCTGCAGCAGATTCCGCCAGGGACTCCGAAATATTGTTGGCTGGATGGAAATCGGACAGGTTTATTTCGTGGATCCCACAGAGCTACTCCCACAAAGGACGCACTGTACTCCTCCTCAAAAGGCGGGAAAATGAAGGCTTTGCTATTCCGCTCTGGGGGTTGCAGACCAAGCCCACAAACAACCCACACTGAGAAAATGGGGCGGCGAGAAAAACGATGCCCTTTTGCAGGGTGACCTACAACGTCGCCCTTGACGGTGGGATTACGGAAGCCCCCCCTGACCGCTCCCTGCCCACGGCAAGGCAAGGCAAGGCAAGGAGCGGAAGCAGGACCTTGGGTGACTCCTGATGCTCCCGCTGCCACACAGAAAGCCCCTCGGTGGTCGCTGAGAGAGGGCCGGCAGCGCCCTCAGCGCTCAGGCACAGAATGCGGGAATCACGACACCGCTTCCATGCTAGCATTCCGTGTGGCAAGCCGCTCTGGGCCAGGCGAGGCGAGAAGAGGGGAGCTCCCGCGTACCTTTCTCCGGCGTGACCTCCTGCGGTGAGGACTCGGAGCCGGAATCGCCGGCAGTGTTCTCCTTGTTGCTGTCCGTGCTGGCCTCGCTCGACTTGGGCGGACTCTGCAGAGAGAGGGGGGGAGTGGGCGCAGGCCCCGCTGGAGGTGTTTGCTGGGGAGGGAAGGAGGAGAGGCGGCATCGGGGAGACCTGGGGGATCCCCTCGTGCTCCTCCCCTCCCAAAAGCGAAGAGGGGAAACCCACGCCGCAGATGCACCGGGACAGGGATGGCCTGCGAGGGGGCGACTCCCCTCTGAACAGGCCAATGCCGCTTAATCTGTACGAGGCTGGGGGCAAGCCCCCCCCCCCCCCCGCCTGATCCAGCAGTCTGCCCACGCGGCATCCCGACCGTCCGGGTGTGGGGGCAAGAGACCCAGGCAGAGCGCCACTTACCAACACTCTCTCGCTCATGTTCTGCCCGAACACAAACTTGTTGCTGGAAGGGTCAGCGCTGTGCGGGGGCTTTTCTGTGCTGGAGGGGAAGGGAACGAGGTGTGAGCACACGCGTGCCTTCAGGGGCCCAGGGGCCGCCCCTGCCGGACGCTCCCTCACCTGGCGCTGATGTACTGCAGGAAGTAGTTTGTGGCTGAGGGCGTCTCGGTGTTCAGCAGTCGGGAGTTCTGCACACCAACCGAGTCGTCCCCTTCGTCTCCTAGCTGGGGAGAGGGAGGGTGCTGAGACCGAGAGCAGCGCGAAGTCCCCAGCAACCGCCCAGGAAAGGACTGCCCCACCCCGTGTCAGGGCCCCATTCCAATCAGGCCTGACGTGTTTGCTGTGACTGGCAGCTGCTCTGTGCATGCTCCCAGGCCGATCCGAGGAGAAGCACGGCCTGGCCTGCCTGCCTGCCTGGCCCCTGCGGAGAGGAGCCTGGCTGCACGTGGGCAAGCAAAGCTTCTCCCGAGCAGGACTAAGCACCCGCCTCAGCGCAGCTACCAGGGCACCGGAGCCTGGGGACTGCTCAGAGCAGAAGGCTGACGTCCGCCGCTGGGCTCATCTCCTCCGGTAAAGAGAGGGCTGCCAACCTCCTTCAGCTCAGGGGCTGAACCCAACTTTGGGGACGTTCTCAAGGGCCACTTTCCAGGGGGCAGAGCCAAAAGGCGGGGCTAAAATGCCCCAAAAGGCCTGGAGCGCTTCCTGCCAGTCTTTCAGCTTCAGGAGAGGCGTTTCACCCTCCGAGGATGCGGGAAGCTGGGTGAAAGGCACCAAAGAGCATCCTGGGGAACCCCAAAGGGCCAGTCTGGGAACCTGGGGGATGGGGTTTGGCCCACTGCCCCCCAGGTTCTTGCCGCGTTCTGTGTATCCTTCAAAGCCGAGACACAGGGCCTCCCACGGCAGAATGACCACGGGGGACGCCCTTTCCCCGCCAGGGCCAATCTGCAAGCCTCGGTTTGAAGAAAGGGGGGCTACTGGAGGGCTGTCGTCCCCCAGGGAGAAAGTGCGTCAGCGCCCCCAGGCAGGCAGGTTGCACCCTTCAGCTCCGTGGGGACAAGGCCCTGCCGGCATGCAGGGCCCCGAGCCATGACTTCCATCTGACTGGGCCGTGAGAGGAAGCCTAGTGCTCAATGCGAGACGAGAGCTTTGGCTTCGGGATGGGACAGAAACAGGATCAACACGGTAAAACAAACAAAGGTGGGAGGGCAGCCCGCTTCTGGCCCGCTGCGGCCGTTCTGCGGCTTCCTGCTGCGGAGCGCGCCACGGCGGCAAGAGGCCCGGCCGTTGCCAAGTGAGTCAAGGCGCGCGCGGCTTGTCAGACTGTTCCCCCGCTTCTGCTGCAAGGTCCCAGAGGCTGCCGCCCGGCCCTGCTGCAGCGATCCTGGCTCTCCGCCGGGGGGCCAGCCGTGCCCCTCGCCCGCTGCCTCGGCTCTTCTCACGGGGTGCCTGGGCCCGAGGGCGTGCGAGGGCGTACGGCCAGCCTCTCCTCCAGCTCACCCCACGCAGATACCTTCACTCGGTCTCTCAGGTTCTGCCCAAACACGAAGGACTGCTGTGTGCTCTGATCCGCTTTTTCGCTCTTGTCGGCCTCCGGAACGCTGTTGGCTTCAGTCTGCTGGCGGTCTTTCTCCTGAGCAAGAGAGGAGGGAGGAGCAAACTGGACTGTGTGGAAAGGACACCGACTGCCTTGGCTATTCATTCTCCTCTCTTCCCGCTGTCAGGTCACGGGACGGCCCCTCCAATCAACAGTCCGTCTGGACTATGGCAATGCACTCCGTGTGGGGCTGCCCGTGCAGACGGTCCGGATACTTCAATCGGTCCAGAATGGAGCTGCCGGGTTAACGGGGACCGGCAGATGCTTCCATATCACGCTGGTCCAATACTATCTACACTGGCGGCCAACAAAGCCCAAGCCAACCTGTAAGGCCCTACACGGCTTGGGTCCTGGATACCTGAACCAGCACCTTTTTCCGCTATGTGCTTGCCCACCCCTTGAGATCACCCCTGGCCCTTCTCCAGGAGCCCTCTTTGAAGGAAATTAGGAGGGCAGCTACTCGGGGAAGGGTCTTTTTGGTGGTGGCGCCCCAACTATGGAACACAATCCCTAGGGAGGTTTGCCTGGTGCCGGCACTTTATTCGTCTCGGCATCAGGCAAAGAACTTTTTGTTTTCCCAGTATTTTAACAGTTAATTGGCTTTATCCTTGCTTTTATCAACATTAATAGGATGCAGTGTGTTGTGTGTTGTTTCTTGTATAGGGTTGCTTTGCTTTCTGATTTTTTTTGTAAGCTGTCCAGAGACTTTTAGTATTGGACAATAAAGGAAAACTTTAAATAAAGCAGGCAGGCAGGCAGATTGAGAAAGGGGTTCTCACTCCCGTGAGGTCTAGGGGAAGAATTGGCAGAATGTAAGATGGGGCTTCGTTCAGCAGCAGCTTTTGATGCTTTGTCTTCATTGCCAGCGCTGGCAGTTCCACCAAGCCCCCCCCTACGCCCCCAAACCGGACTGGCTCCTTCGGGCAGCATTATTCTTATCCTCAGCAAAACTGTGGTGGGTCAGTTGGACTGAACACTCAGGCTGCCCTGAGACCAGCGCACGCCTGCAACCCCCTCCGCGGCCGCCAGCAGGGGAGGCTGCGTGCCCTTCCCCAGCCCCAGGCACACACCGGGCTCCGCCTCACGCGAGCTTCCAGGCGCGTGGGGGACACGGACTCAGATCTCCCAGAATCCGCCCGGGGGAGGAAGCCTCTGGGGCAGGCCAGGCCAGGCACACCGGGCTGGGCACCACCACAAGCGGCTGCTGGGGAGGCCTGGCAAAGGACGCGCCCCCTGCCCCAAAGGCTCACGCAGAAAGCAGGCGTGGGGACCGAGCGTCAGGAGGTCACGCTCCTTCGAGGCCAGAGTATTCCGCCGACAGGAAGAGGGCTCCCTGGTGCCGGTTACAGAATACGTCGATTCAAAGAGCGGGGGGCACCAGGCGAGGCGTATCTGGGTGCCCGCCCTGTCCAGTCATCCGGAGCTCAGGCCTGTGGGCCAGATACAGCCTCCGGGCAGGCCAGCATCCTCCCCCAGTCTCCCATCTTTTGCTGGCTTCCCGGCTCATGTGCAGTTTTCGACCACATTCTCAAGGTGGAAATGGCTGTGTCATTGGTTAGAAGAGCAGTAGGTGTTTCCCCCGTCATGGATCTCTGCCTGGCCGTGGCGAAGGGGCTTGTGTAGCGCAATGAAGGTGTAAGCTGTGCTGCGCGGGGCCCCCCGAGATGGACAGGTCACAGCAGAGAGCTCCGACAAACCTTGATCCACCGCAGAAGGAAATGGCAGCCCACTCCAGTCCCCTTGCCATGAAAACCCCATGGACAGTTCTAAAGGGCAAAGAGATAGGTCGCCAGAAGATGAGCCCCTCAGGCCGGAAGGTGTCCAATGTGCTCCTGGGGAAGAGCAGAGGGCTAGTGCAAGTAGCGCCAGAAAGAAGGAAGCGGCTGGGTCAAAGCCGAAAGGACACGCAGTTGCGGATGCATCTGGTGGTGGAAGGAGAGTCCGAAGCTGCAAAGATCTATACTCCATGGGAACCTGGAATGTAAGATCCATGAATCAAGGCAAGCTGGACGTGGTCAAGCAAGAGGTGACGAGACTGAACATCGACATCTTGGGAATCAGCGAACTGAACTGGACAGGAATGGGTGCATTAAATTCAGAGGACCATCAGGTATACTACTGCGGGCAAGAATCCCTCAGAAGAAATGGCGTAGCCTTCATAGTCAATGAAAGAGTAGGAAAAGCAGTACTGGAATACCATCTCCAAAAGGACAGAGTGATCTCAGTTCGAATCCAAGGAAAACCATTCAGCATCACAGGAGTCCAAGTCTGTGCCCCAATCACTGGTGCCAAAGAAGCTGAAGTGGACCGGTTCTATGAAGGCCTACAACACCTTCTAGAATTAACTCCAAAAAATGATGTCCTTATCATCATGGGGGATTGGCATGCTAAAGCAGGAAGCCAAAGGATAACCGGAATAAATGGCAAGTTTGGCCTTGGAGTGCAAAATGAAGCAGGGCACAGGCTGGTAGGATTTTGTCAAGAGAATACGATGGTCATAGCAAACACTCTTTTCCAACAACCCAAGAGACGACTCTATACATGGACATCACCAGGCGGTCAACACAGAAATCAGATTTACCATGTGCTCTGCAGCCAACGATGGAGAAGCTCTAAGCAGTCAGTGAAAACTAGACCAGGAACTGACTGTGGCTCAGAGCATGAGCTTCTAGTTGCAAAATTCAGGCTTAAATTGAAGAAAGTAGGGAAAAGCACTAGGCCACTCAGGTATGACATAAATCATATCCCTGCTGAATATACAGTTGAGATGACAAATAGATTTAAGGAGTTAGATCTGATACACAGAGGGCCTGAAGAACTATGGAGGGAGGTTCGCAACATTGTACAAGAGATAGCAACTAAAACCATCCCAAAGAAAAAGAAGTGCAAGAAAGCAAAATGGCTGTCTGAGGAAGCTTTACAAATCGCTGAGGAAAGAAGGGAAGCAAAAGGCAAGGGAGAAAGAGAAAGATACACCCAATTGCATGCAGAATTCCTGAGAATAGCCAGAAGAGATAAGAATGCCTTCTTCAATGAATAGTGCAAAAAATTGAATAGGGAGGACCAGAGATCTCTTCAAGAAAATTGGAGATATGAAAGGAACTGATTGGTTCAAAATGGAAAAAGGAGTTCGGCAAGGCTGTATACTGTCGCCCAGCCTATTTAACTTACATGCAGAGCACATCATGAGAAAGGCGGGGCTGGATGAATCACCAGTTGGAATTAAGATTGCCAGGAGAAATATCAACAATCTCAGATATGCAGATGATACCACTCTCATGGCAGAAAGTGAAGAGGAACTAAAGAGCCTCTTGATGCGGGTGAAGGAGAGCGGAAAAGTTGGCTTGAAACTTCACATCAAGAAAACGAAGATCATGGCATCCGGTCCTCTCACTTCCTGGCAAATAGATGGGGAAGGAATGGAGGTAGTGGTGGGTTTTCCAAGGCTCCAACATCCCCACGGACGGGGACCACAGCCAAGAAATTAAAAGGCGCTTGCTCCTGGGGAGGAAAGCTATGGCAAGTCTAGACAGCAGGCTAAAAAAGCAGAGACATCACCCTGCCAACAAAAGTGCGTATAGTCAAGGCTGTGGTTTTCCCAGTTCAATGTATGGCTGTGAAAGCTGGAGCACAAGGAAGGCTGAACGCCGAAGGATTGAGGCCTCTGAATTGCGGTGCTGGAGGAGTCTCCTGCACCAACTTTATTAAAGTTGTAATAAAGGAGCAGACTGAAGATGGTGTCGGAACGAAATGGCTGTGATTAATGGAGCGCCTGTTATCATGCCTGTATTGCTTGGCAGCGAGTCGTGGGAGACTCATCTAAGCCTGTCGGGGCGAAGAAGGATTGCCTGGCACTTTCACTTCTGGTCGGTGTGGGACAGCAATCCCATATCTACTGGGAGAAATTCAGGCATTCTCAACCGGGCAACACAGGGGGGTTTTTTTTAGCCCCTCCCAGTTCTCGACATCTGATGGATTAATTAGCTTATTTTAGCCAGAGAAGCATCGGACGGCTGGTAAGCATTCTTATTTCTTATCACAATACTACCCGTGGAAAAGCTGTATCTGTTCATAATTGGCTTAAAGAAAAAAGAGAAAGCCCTCCTGAAGTTTTTAAGTGGCAACCGATATGGAGAGAATCTGAAGGCTTTTATCTGAGTTGAAGTCAAAGAAAAAGATCTTTCTTCTTATCTCTCTAAGGGCAAAAAGCAAAATGAATAATTACTGTGGAATTAAATGATAGAAGATTAAAAGGTAGAGCAATCATTTTGGATACTTGTTTGGACTTCTGCCAAGACTAAATGGACACTTGTCAGGATAATTTTTGTGTTATGTGGTGTTTTCCTCTCTACTGTGATGACTTTCTGGTGAGCATTTTTACTTTCTTTTTGCAATATTACCTGTGGAAAAACTATATCTCTTGTTAATTGGCATAAAGAAGAAGGAAAAGCCCCTTTGAAACTCCCCCGTGCCCCACGGTGTTTTGTATCTTAAGTAGCAAATGATATGAAGGGAGGATTAATGTTGGAGTGAAAGTCTAAAGTAGAAACTGAAAGCTGAAATTGAGGAGAAAGATTTAGCAGTAACTACTGGGGAATCAAGTTTAGAAGGATATAATTTGCCAGTGGCCATTTCTGGCCAGCTTCCATTTTTCTGGGTTTCCTGCCAAAAAGAAGCTTGATACTGACCTTTTTTTCATTTTTTTAACTAGCCTTTTACTGCCACCTGGTGGCTACTGGAATTATTGCAAGCTACTTTCATTTTCTCTCTTTTTTTCTTTTTAATATTTTATTCAATTTATATTTTTTCTCCCTTTTTTTTCTTTTTCTTCTTCTTCCCTTTCTACTTTTCTTTCTTTCTTTTTTTTTTTTTGCTGTTATATTGAAACTTCTTTGAACAACTTTCATCATGAGGAAAACTCAGCCCTCTTCAGCACCCTCCTCAGCTGGTCAGAGTCCAATTCATCAGCCTAAGACAGAAGATGTTGCAAAAAGCTTAAAAGAGTTGCAAATCACGACCTTGGCGATACAGATGGCTTTAACAACTTTGCAAGCATCTCAAGAGGTGATGTCAACATGGCTGAAAAGCTTATCAAATGAACAAAAAGAGTGACTTGACAAATAGGATAACTATTAAAGAGGTGACAACTCAATTATCTGATGATCTACTTAAAGCGGAACAGAATACACAAAAAATGCAACAAGTATGTGAAAAACTGGAGACAGTAGATAAAGAAATTCATTTAATTAAGCAAACAAATAAGTCAACACAGGACTGAACGGCTGCATTAGAGATGGAGAAGGCATCTTACTATCTAAGATTTCAGAAAATACCTGAAGAGAAAAATGAGGATCTGCGAGAGCTTATTAATGACATGTTGGCGGAGCTTTTAGAAATCGAGAATGAGGTCATGGGTATGGGAATTGACCTTGTTTTTAGGGTCAATTCCTCTTATACCAGAAAAAATAAACGTCCGAGAGAAGTTCATGTCAAATTTGCTCTAAGGTCCATAAGAGACAATGTTTTGAAGGCCATATGGGAGAAGCCGTTAAAGAGAGACGATTGTCAGGAGGTGACGGTCCTGAAACTGATACCATGGAGGATTAGAGAGCGATAAAAGAAATATCTATTCCTTACTACAAAACTGATCAAGAAAGGGATTATCTTTAAGTGGCTAACATCAGAAGGAATATTTTTCACATGGAACTCTGTAAGATATAAACTGGATTCAATTCCTAAAGCACAAGAGTTCTATGAAAAATTTAGAGCCATGTTGGAAGAGGAGGACCCTGTCCTCTCTAAAGAAGGAGAAAAAGGTACCGAAGCAACAGAAATAACAGCGTACCATTCTGAAGGAGAAATACTGAAGGTTGATTCACAACAAGAAGTGCAGACTTTGGACTCAAAAGAGAAAAAAAAAAAGGTAGAACTATAAAGGCAAAGAATAAGTAGATAATTTTATTAAATATGGCTCTTAAAAAGGAAGGGAAAATTGAATTGTTCTCCTTAAATGTTAATGGACTAAATGGACCATCTAAGAGAAGAATGTGAGAATGCACTGGGGGGGGGGTTTAAATGCTTTTTTTCTTCTTTTAATTGTTATATTATTATTATTGTATGTCTTATGTATTCTTTGTGAGCCGCCCCGAGGCTTTGTTGCAATGGGGGGACATAGAAATATTTTAAATAAATAAATAAATAAATAAATAAGGATTTTTGCTCAACTTCAAAAATGAAAGTTAGATGTAATTTGTCTACAAGAAACACATTATTAAGAAACAATGTGTTAAACTTCTGGAATGTTTAAAACTGGGATAATTGTTTGTATCTTCTGCATCACAAAAGAAAAGAGGTTTAGTGCTATTTGTTAAAGAAAAATTGGATCCTAAATATATTCTTGCTGATGAGGATGGTAGGATCTTGATGGTAGAAATTACAATTAAACTTAAAAAGGTGCTCTTAGTGGCAATATATGCACCAAATGATCATCAGGAAACTTTTAACCAAAAACTACATACATTACTCTTACAAGTGGACTGTCAGACTGTGTGTGCAATGGGTGATTTTAATGCAATTGTGAATAAGGAAATCGATTACAAGAGTGAAAGTAAGGGAAAAACGGGTAGGAGGGGCTTCCAAAGCCTTGCTCCAACATGATTGAAGAACTCAGATTGATAGATGCCTGGAGGCGTAAAAACCCAGCTTCTGCCAATTATTCTTTTTATTCAAATAGACATAGGTCATGGTCTGGAATTGATATGGTTCGGATAACTCCAGACTTAGTTCCAGATTTGATAGAAGCTGAAATGGAGACAAATGTCTGGGCAGATCATAATCCTGTATTTATATCACTGAAAGGAGCTGCAAGGACGCCCAGGTGGAGTCTAGATAAAGCGTTACTAAAAGATTAAAAAATTTACAGAAGAGATAAGCAAAGAAATGCAAATATTCTTTCAAATAAACAAAGCGGAAGAAACTTCTTTACAGAATGTCTGGGATACAGCTAAAGCCTATGTAAGGGGACCGATAATAACCTACTCAGCAAAAATAAATAAAAAGAAAAAGCAAGAGTGAGCAACATTAGTAGAAGAACTGAGGAAATGGGAACAAGAACTGCAGGAGGATCCAACAAAAAGAAATCTTAGGGTCCAAATGAATACTGTAAAGCACAAATTGAATCTCTTGGATACAAATGAACTTACTAAGCAAATGAAACTGGCTAAACAGAATTATTTTGAAAATGCTAATAAACTGGGGAGATGGCTAGCATATAAAGTAAAAAAAGAAAGAGAGAAGAGACTGATTTCGAAACTGAAAGACGGAGAAGGACGACTACAGGTACAAAATACACAAATTAAGAAAATAACTGAAGTTTTTTTGCAAGGTTAAACCGGAAGGAGGAGATTTTGATCGAGAAGGTAAAAGAATACATTTGAAAGGGAAACTTAACAAAACTACCAGAAAAGTATCAAAAATTATTGAATCAAGAAGTAACAACTATGGAAATAACAGAGGCAATCATGCCACAAAAGAACGATGAAACCCCTGGTCCAGAGGGGCTACCAGCTGAATTTTACAAATCTTCTGAGGGAGTTTTTGCTACATTTCTTAAAGATATATGTAATGAAGCATTGTTAAATGCTAAAATACCAGACACTTGGACAGAGGCAAATATCAAATTAATACCAAAAGAAGATATGGACTTAACATAGATTCAAAATTACAGACCTATATCATTACTAAATGTGGACTATAAAAGTTTTGCCTCTATATTGGCAGAAAGGTTGAAGAAGTTTTTAATAGACTTTATTCATCCAGACCAAAATGGTTTCCTGCCTAAAAGACAAATGAAGAACAACCTGAGGACTATCTTGGATATTCTAGAATACTATGAGACACACACGGAAAAATCAAGTGGAAGTGGAAGAACAGGACGTCACTTTGCCACTGTCTTGTGCCTGGGAAAGTGGAATTGAACACCATTCCGCTGCTTGTGCTTCAGCTAGCATTAATGTATAGATAAGGTTTTAGCTAGTGTGCAAGTTTAGGGATGGATAGTTAGAGCTCTTTGGGACCATTAACTCTTGCTAGAATTGTTAAATGTTTTGAAAGGCTGGGTGTGTGTAAGTGTACGAGAACATGCAGTTGGGGAGGTCACATTTATCTGAATATTGTTTTACATGGAATTTTATTCACTGCTCAAATATGCTCCTAAAACTGATCCTTAACTGTCAAAACAAGCATTTGTAGCTTGTCTATTTGGCAGAATAGTCTGGACCTGTGACCTGACTTTTAAAATAAAGCCTATTGAAATTAAAAAAACAAAAAACAAAAAGTCAAGGCTGTGGTTTTCCCGGTTGCAATGCATGGCTGTGAAAGCTGGACCAGAAGGAAAGCTGAGCAGAGAAGAATTGAGGCCCTTGAATTGTGGTGCTGGAGGAGACTCCTGCGAGTCCCTTGGACCGCAAGGCGATCAAACCGGTCAGTCCTGGAGGAGATCAACCCTGACTGCTCCTTAGAAGGCCAGATCCTGAAGACGAAGCTCAGATACTTTGGCCACCAAATGAGGAAGAAGGACTCTCTGGAGAAGAGCCTGATGCTGGGAAGGATTGAGGGCAAAAGAAGGAGGCGGCGGCAGAGGATGAGGGGGCTGGATGGGGTCACTGGGGCAGTCGGCGTGAGCTTGGGTGGACGATGGTGGAGGACAGGAGAGCCCCAAGGAATGTTGTCTACGGGGTGCTGATGGGTCGGATGTGACTTCGCAACTAACAAGAAGGACCAGGTGTTGCCCGCAGAAGTGGGATTCGGCCCTGCTGTGTGCACTGGCCAATCAAGCACTCCAGGGGTGTGGGGTGGAAAAAGCTTTGTTCTGCAGAAAAAGGGTCTCTGTGCAGAAAGCAGGCAAAATGGAGCCAGGATCAAAAATTGCTGGGATCTTTTCTGTTGTGGCCCCCACCCCTCTTGCCTCTTCCCCCTGGAACGCCTCCCCTGCAGCGTCTCTGAAATGGCAGTTTGGCCCGTGGATGGCCACGAGCCGGTCCAGCGTTCTGCAACCTGCGCAGCCTGGAGGGCCGGGGGCCACAGGGCGGCTGGCAGGAAGGCCTCCCCATTCCGCCAAGACCCCGGCTGGAGCCGATCCGCACAGCCCCGGGGCTCTCCCGCGCACCTCTTCCGAAGGCGCCTTCGCATGAGGGCCAGCACGGCCCGCGGAGCCTCACCTTCTCCTCCGACTCCGGGCTCTGCGGTGCCGTGTTGGTCGAAGAGTCAGAGCCGGCCGCTGCACAATCTGGAGGCAAACTGACGCCGTTCGTTCCGCTGCTTGGAACTGCAGGAAGAAACACCACGCAACGGGCTGAGCGCTCCCAGCTCCTGGCTGAAACGCAGCTGCTGCTCTGCCACCCCTGAGGGCAAACGGGCAGCTGAGCAGGCCCTGCTCTCCCAGCATGCAGCTCCACCCGACGAGGCCGCGGGCTCACTTGCCTGCCTGCGAGAAAGCCTTTGGCTGTGGGGCCTGCAGCACGGCCGGGCGCAGGACACTCCGCTGCTGCTCCTTCGGCTTCTGACTGGGCACCCCTGGGGAGGGACGGAAAGACATCCTTGGCCCCCTCGGCAACTGGACGCGGGCGCAGGAGAGGCTGCTGCTGGGCGGGGGTGCCAGGGACAGACGCAGGCCCCCGGTCCTGTGTGTCTGAGAGGCGGAGCCTCAGGTCTGGGGGCGGGGGGAGCACCCCCAGCATTCCCACAGGGGCCCACGCCGCCCCCCCTTCCCCAGACTGCGGGGCGGCCCCTTGGTGTTTCCCCACTCGGCTCTGCAAAGGCTGTGTTGCCGGTGCTGGAGGGCCTGCTGGGAGATGCCACCTGAGCACGCGTGTAGGGGGTGCTCTTCAAGGCGGAGGCCTGGCCTGAAGGACGCGGGTCTGCAGGCCGGGCGGCCCGACACTGCGGAGGGTCCTGGGCGTTCTCCCAGCAGGACTTTGGTGGCTCTAAATTCAGAGCGCCGACCAGGCCGGAGAAGCGCCAGCTGAGCAGGGGCCTGCTGTGACGAGGGTCTGGTGGGCGCGGTGCCTCCACTTCCCTGAGCTTCGGCAAAGGCTGGACTCACCTGCGCTGGGCGCCTGGCCGTGGATGAGCGTGGGGGGCTTCAACCGGAATCCAGTACATTTTTCCTCTAGAATTCAGAAGCGGCGGGTGAGGTCGCAGGGCTTGCAGGCCCGCCAGCATCAAAACCTGCCTCACTGGCTTGGACGGGTGGCCAGCAGGGCCCCAGAACTTCGTGGGGGGCACAGCCCGCATCCCCAGACAGCCACACCCTCCCCCCGCCGTAACGGCCGGTCCTTGCGTGGTTTCGGACCCCCAGGTGCCACTCCCCGTGTGGCACAGCCGCGTCGCCTCCGAGGGCTCGGCGAACAGCAGTCAGAGATTCGGGTGAATGCCTACGGGCGCAGCCGGCACGCTGCCCCGCCTCTCTGGCCCGTTTGTCTGTTCTGCCTGCTCCATGAGCACCCCATGGCTCTGTGCTCACACTGGACACCCCGGTGAGCGACCCAGCTGGCTCACTGCGGGCCGCAGCATGCAACGTTCGGATGCGCCACCGCAGACGGGGGTGCTGTGAGGCTGCAGCGTGTCGCGTGAATCTGCCCGCTGTGGATGATTTGAGGGTTAACGATCCCGCCCATCGCCCTGGGCCATCAGTAGGGTTAAACAACCCTTGATTAACCCCAGAGCATGTGGCAGGGCCTTCACGACCCGATCGCGGGTATCAGTTCAAAACTGCACTGCCAGCTGTGAGATGGTTCACGCACCCAAATACGGCCCCAGTGGCCGCGGACCCCCACCCAGCCCGCGCAGCCGCTCCTTCCGGCGGTCCGTGCTGCACGCAGACAAGGCCAGTGAGAGATGGGAAGGGAGGCGGAGGGGTCCGCTTGGCTGATGATGGGCTCCACCCCAGAGGCTGTCCCCGGGCTCGGCCGTGGAGGGGGCCCACACTCACCGGGCTCCGAGTCAGAGTTCCCCGCAGAAGGCTCGCAGAAGCTTGAGGGCATGAAGACATTGTTCTTGGCCACTGCAGTGGGAGGGAAGGAATGCAGGCTGCCGCACTGAGGCTCCCTGCCCTTTGCCCCTCCGTGCACCCCCAGGCGGGCCCCTTTCCCTGGGCTGAGGGCGAGGACCCCTGCCACTCATCCACAGAGCAGCTTCCCCCAACCGGGGGCCTCTGGATGGTTTGGACCTCGACTCCTGACAGCCCGGTCAAGGCCTCCAGAGGACGACAGGTGAGGTCATGGAGACCCACCGCCCTCTGCCCTCCTCCTCAGCCCACTGACCCTGCAGTCCTGCTCCCACAGAGCACCGATCCAAGTGGACAGACACCTGGTGACGCCCTCTTCTCACCACTGCAGATTAGCTCTTGCTGAAACCCATCAGTTTTGTACCCCCCAGAACCTGGTACCCCCCAGAAGTTTGGGTACCGACTCCCATCAGCCCCAGCTAACAGGGCCAAGGGTCAGGAGTCCTGGGAGCTGGAGGACACCAGGATGGGAGGGCGGGCTCACTGCAGGAGCCCCTGGGCCAGAGCACCCCAGGCTGCAGCTCCACCACTGGAGGGCCGTCTGACGCCTCCTCAGGACCCATGGCGCCACATGGCCTTCTTCGCAATGCTGCTGGTGTGCCAGGGGGTCTGAGGCTCACCCCTGGCATGACGGCAGCCCAGAAACTGGGGCAGCAAGAGAGAAAGCAGGTGGTCCCCTCCCCCCAAAGCGCCTCTGGTGCGAAAGACCCGAATGCAGCCGCAGAGGGCCCCCACACCCAGCCCCCACTGGCACTGATCTGGGGGCTCAGCCGGCCTGCCCCATCCATGAGTCCTTTTCCCTGGGAACTCTGCAGCCCAAACACCCTGGGAAGGAGGGGGAAAGCCGGGGTGGCACCCCACTTACCTGGTTGTGAGGGAGGAAACTGTGTGAGCGATGAGGTCCTTTCACGCTTTACGGGCGGGCAGTAGCTCCCGTCCTCTCGGTCGGACTCTGCGGGGAAGAAGGGTGGAGGGTGGAGAGGGTGAGACAGCAGCAGGCACGACGCTTTCAGGCGCTCCGGAGTGGAGGAGCTGGGATGGCAGCTGCCAGCGCTGCGGCTCTGGCCATGCTGGCTGGGGAGAGGGTGTCGCGGTCCAGCAGGCTGGGGCAGCTGCCTTCAGTGGGTGGCGGTCAAGTGGCGGTTTGTCCCACAGGCGCCCGAGGGCTCCAGGCCCAGCCCTGCCACACACAGCATGATTCAAGGCTGCTTCCCCTTTGCTCTTGGGTGGCTTTTCAGGTCGGGGAGGAGGGGGCACTGCCCGAACAGCCATTTCCACACCACAGACCTGAGGAGCTGTGTTCTTCCCACCCCGTCACTTAGTTATTTTGCTTCTCATTTTAAAAATAACTCTTTAAAAATGGCAGTGATGCTCGTCCAGAGCAGCTTCCTTGACAGCAACGCACAGCTTAGCCAAGAGCGCTTGACTGCCCCAAGAGGTGCAGAGGGCCCCCCACTCATGGCAAAGGTGTGGGGGCAGTGAGAGCAAAGCACAGGAGCACAGCCCCCCTCCCAGCCCAAGGGCCAAACACCCTTTCCGAGCAGCATCAGGGCGGGCATTCCAGCTGCTGAAGGCAGATGGCGAAGGGGTGCGGACCGACCACCCACCCGCCTTGCTCTCCGCACCAACCCGTCAAGCCACACGGGAGGCGTTTCGACATTTCTGAAGGGAGGAAAGAGGCTGTACAGAGCTGGGAAACCAGGAAACCTTCCATGGGCAGGCTGGAGGGAGATGGTCCTGGAAGCCAGGTGGGGGCCGCAGTCCAGATGCAGCCCGAGCACCTGAGGTTCGGCCTGCTGGCTAAACAGAAAGTCTTCCGCAGCTGGGGAAGGCCGGCCGCTGCCAGAGTTGGGTCCTGCCTGGAGCGCTCTGGCTGCCATGGCTCCTAGCCCAGGCCATGCCTCTTGGGGTGTCCGGGCAGAGAAGCCTGGCCGAGACTGTTGGCCTCAGGCTGCTGGGGATGCGGCTGCATGTTTCTCCCACGCCCCTTGGCTGGGGTGTGACTCCCGGAACAGCGGAGGCTCCGTTTCTTCCAGGCGGTCCAAGTTTGACCAGGCCTGGGGCAGGATGCGCGGAAGCTGCAGGCTGGACGTGCCAACGCGACGCGCCCACACCGGTCCCCACCGCCTCGATGCCGGGCGCAAGCACCCTGCACTCCTCTGCACCGAACGGCTGGTGGGGAAGGAACCGCCAGCCCCAGGGGAGCAAGCTTCCACGGGGCTCCCGTGGATTCTCCGGGTGGTGGCACGAGCTCCCTCACCTTCCCCATCTTCTGGACTTGACCCATCTGCTGACCTCTGTAACAAATACACATACAGATTCGTCAAAAAACAGCTTCCCCCAGAAACCCCCCAACACTTTGCCTGATCCCCGGACCTGTTTTTCAGCAACTCGGGGCATTGCAGGCCTGGGCGACAACTCTGCTCCTGGTCACGCTGCGCAGGCTGGGAGCTGAAGTCCAAAACATTTGGGGGCACCCGCTTTAAAGGCTGTTTCAAAATGACCACACACACAGGTCATTTTTGGGTGCAGTGTTGCATCTTAAACAGCAAGTGCAAAACCACAGAGAGAAGGAACTGAGGGAGACAGAAGACCAAGAGTGCGGCCTCAACACTGCTTCCTCACGGGGCGACAGCAGGGACACCAGACCACGGAGCATGTGCAGAATGAGGGAGGCAGAGCCCCCTCCACCCGCTGCCCCCTGCACGCGCTGGACTTCCACTTGCGCAGCCCCCCTGGGGCAGCTGTGGTCCAACGCACGTGGAGAGTGGCAGGCTGGGGGAGGCTGCGGGGCACGTCATGCCCCCTCCGAACCACGTTCGGTCGGGCAGGTCCAGTCATCAGGGCTGCGGAAACTATGTTCGCCCCGGTCCCACTGTGTGGGGCTGCCCGGGGCCCGAGGGCTGAACACCAGAGGCAAGCGGGATCCAGGGGCGGCCGGCCCCACACACGGGCACTTTGCCCGCAGCTGAGGGCTTCCGGGACCCACGCAGCTGTGCAGGGCTGGAAAGGCGCTCGCCGGCACTCGGCCGTCAGCATCCACTCGCCCGGCTGCCCTGGAGCCAGATGTGGACAGGGAAGCCGGAGCGTCCATGGCAGCCGCCCCCTGGCAGCGCTGGCTGGGAGCTCTGGTGGGGCATCTGGAAGGTGTCCTGTTGGGGAGACTGCCCCGGACACATTTCTGGGGCGGGATCACAAGGCCCAGAAAAGCTGGGAGTCCCGCACAAGGCCGGGGTTCTTCTTTCTCATCCGCTTTGGCCCCAGCCTCACGTCAGTGCGCCAGGGGTATTGCTGCTCCAAAGCAACCAAAATCAGGGGTGCGCCCCCAGCTCTCCCAAAGCCCTGGGTGTCCCAGCCCACGCTCTTTCCCTCACAGATGAGAAATGCTTCCTGTCAGCCCCACTCCAGAATTCCTGCTTAACTCCCAGACCAGCCCCAGGACCCCACATGCTCCAAGCCCCTGAACACGGGGAGGGGGAGAGGAAGGGCCCTCCCGTGGCGACCAGCCAGGGAGACGCGAGTGCAGTGGCCCTGCCTGGTCATGCACACGAGCGCCTCACGGCCGCGGAAGCAGGTTATCGCTGCATTCTGCACCTTCGCCTGAGTCCCCACGGGGCGAGACCTTTGGGGTCCAGCCTGAGAGGAGGAGCAAAAGGGCTCCCCTCCACGCTCACCGCACCACGCACCGCCTGGCAGCGCGTCCCTCTCGCTCACTGCTTTCCTAGGCAAAGCCATGCCGGCTGCTGTAACCTTTCCTCACAGAGGACTTATTCTGGCCCCTGGATCACCTGGAGTCGTCCTTTCCCAGCCTTTTCCAATTCCACAGTGTCCCTTTACGGCGCAATGACCAAAACTGTGCAAACTTTTTGTTTATCAGCTCCCTATCCCACCCCTTAGGGAAAACTTTTCCCACTGTGGCCACATGATAGATCTGTCGAAGGAGAACAGGGCACCGGAATTTGCTTTTTCACCACAGCCGCATGCCGAGTCAACTAGTGTCAGGCCGTTGCCCGTGCTGGGACCCTCCCTCTGGCGTGCCATCTGGGGAAAACAGTTTTCCCTTCCCAGGCTTTTCGGCTTTTTCACTTCGGCTGCCAAGTTTCAGTTGGATGCTTTTCCACCCAGCGTCTTTCTTTTTAAAGCCTGTCTTAGGATGAAATCCTATGTAGGTTCCGACATAGGGAAGCCCTGCAACTCCAGGCTATGCTTGCCAGGGAGGGCAGGGAGTTGTAGGGCTTCTTCCAGTCTAAACTTGCACAGGACTGCAGCCATAATTTAACGATTATTTAATGGTGTTTTTAATAGTATTCAAAGGGCAGGGTAGAAATAATTCAGAGCACTGTTTGGATGCGTCCTAAGGCCCCGGGTAAGAGATGGCTGGATGGGGTCCCTGGGGCGGTGGGTGGGAGCTCAGGTGGCCTCCGAGGAAGGTGGGGGACAGGAAGGCCTGGAGGAGTGTTGTCCATGGGGTCGCGATGGGTCCCGACTAACAACAACAACAAAGGCCCCGGGTGCTAAGTGCTTCTGAAATGCATTCTGTTGATCTGCGTTTGTCTTCCACTGGGGAAGGGAAGTTGGGACGCTTTTCCAGGAGGAGAAGGCGCTCCAGATCTAAGTAAATGAAAGGGTGGGCAAATGCACGCAGAGCGGGGCAGGCAGCTCGTCTTGGTCTACGACTTCGGTCGGCAATGAGACAAACCCAGGCAAAGCACCTGGGGCACAAGGTGCCCACTCTGAGCAGAGGCAGCCTTGAAGAGCGCCAGGAAGCTCCAGTGGGGGCAAAATGCAGGGGCCAGGCTGCCACACGCGTGGAGCCTGGGAGCGCAATGCCTCCAGGGTCCCGCTCTGCACACAGGAAGTCCTGGGCCAGAGTCCGCACGGCCTTCCAGCTAAGTCCAGGGGGCGCTTCCAACCTTCAGGCCGCAGTCTTATGCAGACTCCCTCTACCACTGAGTTTACTGGGGCCTTCCTTTGAGCAGGCACCTGCCAGCTTATCCAGATCTGCAGCAGGGACCCTTTCAAGGCAAGCCACCCCCACCTTGAAGCCCACTTGTCAAGGACTCAGACCGGGCTTTTGTCCACGTTGCTCCCAAGCTGCTGCACCCGCCCCCCCGGCCACGAGTCTCGCTCCCCCGTTTTCAGAAAAGGGACCAAGCTGCCCCTTCAAGCCAACCTTTCAAGGCACTCTTCGTGCTCCGCTGTGGCCTCGGCATCTGAAAACGGCTTTGTTTCCATGGATGGCTCTGATTCACTGTGGCACCACCTTGACATTTCTAGCAGGAAGGCAGCAGAGAAACGAGCAACACACACCGCGGCTGAGCTGCCCGGCCATCCCACCTGCTCACTTCTCCTCGCCCGAGTCAACAGGCCAGCAGATCCCGCCTGCTTTGGAACGGCTCCCAGCTAAGGAACAGGACGTGGGGCAGAGCCCCTGCTCTGCACGCAGAAGGTCCCGGGACCACTCCTCATGGCGCCCCCAGGAGGGCCGGGGAGCTCCTGCCTGGGCCCCTGGAGGGCGGCTGCTGCCGGCCAGAGTTGGCCAGGCTGGGCTAGGTGGGCGTGTGCCTGGACTCCCACATTCCCAGGAGGGTGGTTCCAGCTGCCACAGGGGGGCCAGCTCCCTCGCCTTTTGCGGGAAGAAAGCAAGCTGCCACTGACAGGTTAACGCTGCGGAAGGGCAGGGCAGGGCAGGAGCAGAGAGGAACCGCGAGAGCTTCGGTGGAAGCCCCTGGTCAGCTCCGACTTTGCCCTGCCAGTTCTGGCTGAACCGGAGCAATAGGAGAAGCTGCAAGGACACAGGTGAGCAGGAGGGCAGGAGCCTCAAAGCTGCTCTCCCCTGGCGACTGACCCACTGCCAGGGAGGAGAGGCCGATGCTCCCTGCGGGTCCTCGCCCGAGTCCGACACCCCTTCTTGCTCTGCGAAGGACTGCCAGTGCTGGGCAGCACAAGGGCACAACATTGTGCAGAGGGACCTCCTGTTCCCTGCTCCTGGCAGCCTGAGGCTCTGCCACCTGCCTGTGCCTGGCAGGCCGAGCAGTGCCGGCTGCTGAGGTGTGGACGCAGGCGAAAGCAGAGCCAGGTTTCCCCAGGTGTCCCCACCCACAGGTTTAGGAGAGAGGCGGTTCTGTGACCTTGAAAGACAAGACTATGCTGGCCCCTCTTGCATTCCTGCAAAGTGTGATAAAAGGGATGTTGTGTTTCTCAGGCTCCGCTTGGTTTACTTTGTGTGGAGACACTTCCTCTGCAGAAGGAAGCTGTTTCCACCTCTCGTCCCTGGAGTGCTTGACTGGCCAGCGCACATGCCAAGGCCGAATCCCACTTCTGGGGCAACACAGGGACTGATGCTGTTCCCATTTCTCTCCCCCAGAGCTCTTTGGCTTTATGAGTTGGTGACAGCATGCAAATTGGGATTATGCACTGCTTTTCTTAGGTGTCAAATCACGAGAGCTAAAACTGCTATCCACTGAATTACCACTACCCCATAAAATGACGAAAACATCAGCATAGGCTCTATTCTGCTGGTGTTTTAAACAGCCCATGGCGTGTCATCAAAAGCCCAGGAATGCAGGAGAGGCGTAACTTGGCCCAGGAAAAACTGGCACGTGGGTGCCTTGCTTCTGCGGCACTCCACAACGGGGGCCACCACCAGGTTCAAGCCGGGAGAGGTGCTCCATCGGCTACTGAAGTCCTGAGCCACATAAGGTTTTACAGGTCTAACCTGCACCTTGACTTGAGACCAGAAGTCGGCACAAGCGGGCCAGAATCAGTGCCATGCACCTTAGCTAACCAAGCAGGGAATTCTCCTACTCGAGATTGGAAGAGAATTATCTTGTGCTTTCCCCAGAGCCCTGCTGCACGGCTCCCTGAGAAAGACCGACTCCAGAGACATCGGCCCCAGCGAGCCGCCAAACGCCGGGGGCCCCTAGGCAACATCACCGGAACACCACCAGCCAAGTTCCCAGAGGGGTCCTTAAAGCAGGACTTATAAAGACGACCCCCTGCAAATTACAAAGCGAAGGCAAAGAGGCCGGGTGTGCGGCCGAGCCACCTGCCTCCGGGACAAGGCCAACACCACACCAAAGGGTGCTTTATTCCTCCAGGTGGGGGGCAGGCTCTTCCGCTACTCCCCCAAAGGGTCCCAGATGATTCCTGCTGGATATGGGGCTTCTGCATGTCAGCGCGGATGCCCTTTCCCCAGCTCATCATTACGAAGGCGCAGCAGCTGCCGCGCGAGGGAGCTCACCCCACACCAGCGGCTCACCCCTTCCCCTCGCAGGCTGCTGCGGGTGGCAGCCAGCGTGGGCAGAGGAGCCCCGCGCTCCTCCAGCCTGAAGGTCCCAGGCTCCCGGCTGGGTTACCTAAATCACCTTCCTCCTTGCCGTGGGCGTGGGGCTACTGAATAGCACACGCCGTGCTCGAGGGACGGACGCTATCCTGTGCCGCCACAGCCTCATCCCCTTGACTTGCCTGGGAAACAGATTTGCCTTCCATCGTTTAATAAAGCCCCTTTGCAACTCTTCGAAGGCTGCAATGCAAGACAGGAGTTTCAACAAGCAGCTTTAAGTATGCTACATTTTATTAACATTTTAAAGCTGCCCTTAAGACGGGTGACATGCGGGATGCTTCTGTACAGAAGGCATAAACGTCAGTGGGATTTACTTCTGAGGAGACCCTTGCGAGTTCCGGCTGCATGTGCTTTGGCAGAGCACAACCGCCTTGCAGGAGCGGCTTTAGGACCGCCCTTCCTGACCTGGCGTCAGGGTGATGGAGCTTGCAGTACGAGGCATGCGGGGTGGGCGGCACCAGGTTGGGAGGGTTTCTTTGCATAGCCGGACGCCAGTGCCAGCACGCTGGTGGACACAGTTCCTCCTCCGCGGTTCATGCGTCTCACCCGCTGCCCAATTACCAGCACAAAACCCGCCAAGCTTTCCCTTTCCCTTCCCCGAATGATGCTAAAATAAGAACCAGCACGGTTTCACAAGATACTGAAAACTGAACGGCCTCGTGCTTTAAATGTCAACATGTGCTACGCTCGCTTCTTGCTCTACCAGACGAGCTGAAGCCCACGGCTGCCACCATCCTGCTCCGAACACCAACCAGTTGAGGGGTGTCCCTGAAGCCCCTCCAGGTCAGCAAGAACTGGACCCTCTCCTGCTCCAATCGGGCTCCGAACTGGACAGCATCCCCTGAAGATGAGAGGTGGCTAAAGGGTTTTTCAAAAAACCCCCTACCTCATCTTGCAATGATTCCAGGCAAGCTCTTCGGGAATCTGTGAAGCCCTAAACAGCATCCAAGCTCGCCCACCCTTTCCTACAAGGCATCTTAATGCCGTCACTTTTGTTAACCACCTGGAGAGCCTAAGTTCTCCGGCAGTATGGAAGCAAAGTAATAAATCATCCAGCAGCAACAGGCGAAAAGGTGATGTGTTGGACTTCAGCCTCCAGCCTTTCTGACAATCAGCCACACTCCAGAAAGACCCCGCTTCTGGCAACGCCCTCAGAGCCCCCGGTGACTTCCATGTTGCTAGTGGGAACAGAGGCAGGACCAAGGGCCAAACTAATGCCAGGCCCATTCGCACACAGGGCGCATTTCCTGCAGCAGCCTGGCAAAGATGAGGCATGGTGTCCCAGTTCAGGCTGGTCACTTCACTCTGGCAGACCCAAGAGTTCCACAGAACTGTTCAAAAGGCAACACTTCAATGGATGCAGCAGCAGCAGAAAATACAATCTGTGAGCCAACTTGAGGAACAAACCTGTGTCTGTTTAAGCAGAGGAAAGCTCTGCCACTCCCAAGTTATTGGCCTTCTCCTACCACAACATGGGTAGGGTTGTGCCCCCAATAAACGCAACAGAGGCACATCCGGTGATAGGAATCAATCGATTAATCGTGCGAGTTTCTCGACGAGCCGCCTGCTCCGTTGGACACACAAAACGCAGAGGCAAAGCAACGCCAGTGACGCAAGGCAGTGCACTGGGGCTTTTGACGCGACCTGCACGCCTGACACAGGAGTGCCACCCCGAGCGGGGCTTCGAAGACACTGCTTGCCAGCTCCACTTGTGTGCAAATACAATAGAAGTCTACCAAACATTACTAATTTTTCAAGAAAAGTTCTGCCTCCTGATCAGTGGAACACTTGGACTGCAAACTGGGGGGAAATGCTTGCCCGCAGTGCTGGAGAGCCACGGCTCGTTTGCTGGCATCTCTCTCCACACAGGGAGACGCCTGCCAATCGGTGGAGAAACCAGGAGGTCCTCAGCTGTGCTGCACTACAACTCCCAGCATTCCCCCAGCCAGCCATGCCAGGAATCATAACCCAACATGGCTGCAGGTCGCCATGTTGGAGAAGGCTGGCATGGGCTACAGGAACAGGGTAGACAGCTTCTGGCTCTCCAGGTGTTTGGGCCCACAACTCCCATCAGCCCCAGACAATGGTAAGGGGCAACAAGAAATGTGCACAAACACACCCGGGAGCCACAAGCTGCCCACTTCTGCAGAACTACTGACTGATTTGAGCTAAAACAGCTCTCCAAAAAATTGCTATCTCCAGTTGGTGAATTGATTGAACACTGGAGTCCTACTGGCAATTCTTTTGCCATCCAAGCTACCTTTTCTTACAGTATTTGCTGTTTGAAAGCCACCCAGGTGAAAGTTATGGAAAGGCGGGAGGCTCAGGTATCAGTCCCTGAGCACATGGAGGGGCCCCATAAATGCCTCGTTCCTGCACTCCAAAGGGAGCAATCTCCCCCCCGCCAACACCCCCTTGCTGGGGTCCGTCCTGGCCATTTTTCAGGCCTGGAGAGTTCGGCCGAGGCTTCCTGGGAGGCTCTTCAGCAGAGGGGGCCCCCTGCCCAACCAGCACCACGTTTCCCTGTTGAAGTGCAGCAGCAGCCATGGGCGCAAGGCAGGGGGCACATGAGACGCTCACGAGGGGAGGCCTGCCAGGGGGCGCGCTCCAGAACCCTTTCAGGCCCCTCGTCGGCGCACGGGGGCTGCCCAGATGCGGAATCGAGGTGTGAGCCACTTGCGGGAGGGAGGAAGCTGGGCGACTCACTCGCTGCCCGGCCCGTGGGGGCAGCCCACCCCATGCCCCTTGGCCTCGGCTTCCAAGCCAGCACCACCTGTCCTTCGCCACTCACAGCTAGCTGTGCGGAGCCCTCACAGAGGGCCTTCCTTACCTTCTGTGCTTTATCCTTCTGAAACACAAAGACAGGAGGAGCGATGGCCGGCTTTTCTGGAAAGAGCAAAGGAAACTCGAGTTACAAAACATCCAGGCGCACGTGGCCCGTGCTGGTTTCCCTTTCCACTCATCTGAAAACGAGTGCTTCCAAGCTAGCGCGCACCTTTTCCTTTCTTTCCCACAAAATCTTCCGCGGCGGATAGAAAAATGTTCCCAGAGCAGGAACACTTAGGGACGTGAAGGGCCCTCCTGCGGGTGGTCTCAGTCAGGGAGCTCTCGTCCAGTTAACCAGTACAAAAGGCCTTACAAACTGCTGCTTCCCCTTAAGACGGGGGCAGGCAACTCCTTGGGGGCCACATCTCTCTCTGCAGATCTCACTAGGGGCTGCTCTCCCCTCTACTTAACTGCCACCTCCGAAGGAAGGAAGGGAGCAGGGGGCCACCTAGTCGACAGCCAAAATAACGGTCCTGGGAGATTTCTAGGAACTTGCTCTGCTTCCAGGCAAAACTGCAGACAGAGTGGAGGAGGCAGAAAGGCCACAAAATCTTCCGTGGGGGTCACATGCAGCCTTGTCCACCCCTCCCTACAGAAAAGGATGTGCTCTAGAGTGGGTATGTCCTTGCACGTCTTAGTTGTTTGTCTCATGCTTACCCTCCCGGGCTACTGCCAGGTCTTTCATTTGCTATACATTGCCTTGTAAGACCTGAGCCCTACGAAGCACCACGTAACTCACTGGAACTAACGAACACGTCTGCTCCCGTTTCCTTCCAAGCGTGCACCAGACTGCAGCCTTCAGGCCTAATTCAATCCAGCGACGGGACCTCATTTACAATAAGGGTGCCTTAACTTCTTTGGTACAGGATATAGCCTCCTATACCCAGCCATGCATTGACAATGCCAGCACCTGACACCCGCACAAGCATTTAAAATGCCTCGGGAGAAATCTCGCTCCTCCGCTGTTGCACGCATCAGCCAGGTGCGCCACGCAATTCCTTGGGACGGTTTGCTATGCTAGCTGAACAGAATCAAGCAGGATCTGCTTCTGCGAAGACCATGTGCCTGTTCCTGTTCAGAAGTTCTTTTCAGCGGGCCAGAACTGGCTGCCTTCTGAAGTTATCTAAACAGATGCTCCTTCAGAGGACTTTAAAACAGATCTGAACAAATGCACAGCTTCACAAGCGGAGTAAATTCTCACAGCACTTTTGTTCTGGTTACAACAGTGCACCTGAGGTGCCAAAACAATGGGAATTCCCCGTCAGCCTACCAGTGCTTCAGTACCTCAGGTGAAACATTTCTCCAAGTTTCCAGGAGACTCCGCTGACAAGAGACCGCACCCTTCCGTTGTGCTGCCCTGACCACAGAACAGAACACTCTCCCCATGGAGAGGAGACAGAGAAGCACCACCACTTTCTTGCTTTGGACACCACTGTGCACCATTTCACCACTGGATCCTGCCTGCACCATGGTTCCTTCCTCGGGAGCAAGGATGATAAATGCCATTGGGGGAAACGGCACATTATCTTTCTAATGTCCACCAGGATGGGGCATGGTTAAAGCATGGTGGCACAGCATGGGTTTTAAAGGAGGGAACCCTCTGGCGATGGCCTCAGAGATGGATGGGTGATATAGGAGGGCACCAGGTTGCAGGAGCAGGGCTTGTGCCTTTGGGGCACATGGCTCAGAGGGCTTGCAACCTGCCCCGGCCCGGGTTGCTGCTGTGCCTTGACTGGGCTTAGAAGATCCTCTCTCTAACTCTCCAAATTTCAACCAGGAGGCGTATTTTGAGGCACTCCTGTCTCAACAGGGGACTTTTCCACGAAGCGTGTTTTATTAACTGTTCTCTCCTACTGACCTCGCTAGAGCAATCTGACCAAGCCATGAAGCCAAGGTCCCATGCTCCTGGCAATGACAATCTAAAGAGCCTGGTCAAACTGGGTCAGAGGATTAACCCTAGAAAATCTTCTCCATTGAGCGGGTAAAAAGGTTAATCAGCAGCTCTCATTCGTCATTTTTGCAGGGATGATTCCTTGGTCATAATTACAACCATCACATGACCGGCTGTTTGTGGGGTGTAAGTGGGGAGTCAGCCACGGCACCTGATCCCAAACGGAGGCATGAGGAGCAAATCACGGGGACTGCTGCCTCTTAAGGAGCTATGGGTTGGTTTGGGGTTTCTTTTTTTTAAACAAAGCAAGGACTTCTCAGCAGTCTCCCTCAGAAGCAGGGCTCTTATGCTTGCAATATGCAGGAGGCTGGTGGGGAGGGGGGAATAAAAGGCAGACAGGAACTCTTGCAATAGTGCTGCTCTGGCCTTCAGTGTGTAATGAATCCTTTCCAGGACCAGCTGGGACTCCCCAAGACTGCTTCTGGGTGGATGGTCTATCTCAAGGCAACCTTCCTGGCCTTAAACTAGTCCTGGGAGAGGTCCGTCTTTTCACACCCCAAAAATCCACATCCAGTTTTAATCCTGTATTGTCAGTAAAACTGAAATACTTTTCTGTCTCTTCCATACCCAGTGAGTCTGTGACGAAAGTTTGGCACACCCCACACCTGCAGGGCTTCAGAACACAGAACATAGCCCCCCCACCATGACACTCCTCTTTTGTTATGTCACAGGCTAAAACAAACCCAATTCACCCTTCCGTCGTGCGTCTGTGGCAAAGGGGGCTCCCTGCCTCCAGCTGCTTCTCTCAGTGCTGTATAGGACTTCCCTGGGAAAAACAGAAGGGGTATCTGAAAACGTTCTTTGTCCCCGATGTGAGAGGATCACCAAGAGCTTGGCACAGCCTCAGAGGAAATTAGCCCCATGTTCCAGGCTTGGCCATGGTGCACAGAGGACATCCCAACTTGTTACTCTGCGCATGCACCTGGGAAATTAGCCAAGGAAGAGAAACACTGGCTGGAAACACTGTTTACTCATTCCTTATTTGGGGCAGGCAAACTGTGCCTGTCCTGGTGGCACAGCTTACCCCCTTCCCGTAACCATGTCCTCTGCCTACACAACCGCGATTCTCCTGCTGAACCCTATTCCAGTGCAGCTAACAAACAAGGCAACAATCTGGACATGAAGGAGAATAATCAGTGCCCAAACCGCTACCTGCTAGTGTTGCTCCCACTCTAACCACGCTTAGTGGCACTCTTTACCCATTTCTGCTGGTGTGAAGAGCGAGATGGACTGCATGGGACTAGGTAAAGCACCCCTCCGTCATAGCAGTGCTCCCTGCAGGCATTTTGGACTACAACCACAACCTTTCATCATGCCTGGCCATGGGTTCTGCTGGCAGCGGCTCATGGGAGCTGAAGTCCAAACCAATTGTATGGCACGTCTTAAGAAAACCCAGGGTCAATCAATCAAGGGAAGCAGCAGCCTAGAATCCTGCTTTAGATGGGCCTGATCACCTCCGGCTGCCCCCCCCCCCCGCCATGCTCAGAAGCCCCGTCATCCTGAGGAGGTAAGAGAGATAAACCTGCCTGCCACTTGCTGCGTTCCCTGCACCCCCTGCTCATGTTCAGAAGAACCCTCCTCTTTTGTATGTTCCACAAAAGCCTGGAACAAAAAATAGTGCGAACAACATATACAAAAAAATAAAAATAAAAGCAGAACGAAAGAGGGGAGAGGCGCCCGGACCGGAAAACCCGACTGACTGGCACGGCTCGCTTCTCATGAAGCCAGGCATCGCTCCGGCGTCCCGCTCGACACACGGAGGGCGAGGGAGGCGGCAACCGCCTGTCAGACAGTTCTCTCCCGGCCGTCTGCCCACGGCCAGAGAAACCCTTCTCTGCGTATGACTCCATGGCAACCTGAGCAAAATTAACGCCCATGATAAAAAATGCCGTAAGAGGGCGAGGTGCGCCGGAGGCAGACCCCGCCTGGGGGTACTTGCTCCCCGTCACGCTGTCCAGCTACGTCCGGGGACACCCAGCCTGCACCGGTTTTCCCGCCGCCGGCCCATGCTCAGGGGCACTCTCGCTCTGCGCCAGCGGGCGCGCTCTCTGCCCATGCTCAGAGGCACCCCCGCCGCAGCCACCCGGGGGCCGCTCCCTTTGTCCGGCCTGGCCGCAGCCCCGGCTCGGCGTGGCGGCGAGGGCCGGCGCGCAGCCTGGCCGGGGTTCCGCGGCGATCGCGCCCCCCAGGCCGCGCCCCCCAGGCCGCGGCCCCGGCCTCCCCCGCCGCCGCGACCCCCGCCTCAGCCGGCCGCCTACCTTCGTTCGCCAGGTCCGCCATTTTGCTCCTTAATCACTCCCACAATGCCCCGCGCCAGAATGGGCAAACGCCGCTCTGCCCGGTCGCTGAGAAGCCGCGCGCGCGGCTGCGGAGCATGCGTACCGGGCGGAGGGGCGAGGCCCGCCGCGCAGGCGCACGACGGCGGGTTACCTCGCGCAAGCCAAGAGGGGGCAGAGCTGCGGCGGCTGAACCACGCGCTCTCGGCGGCTCCGCTCCCGCCTTCGGGCTATTCGCGACACGCATGCGCAGGCCAGCCTCCCGCGTCGACCTCTTGTTGCGGCCGCCTCAGAGAGACTGGCGCACGCGCAAATACGTCATAGAGGCCGCGCCCCCTGGCGGCGAAAGGGCAGTACTACGACCCAGCTGCGTATTTTCATGCGGCTCGCGGTCATGGCCTGCCAGTCATTCTTCTTTAGTACTATGAACTAGAGCACTCACTTAAGGATTTTTACCTGCTTAGGTATTTTAATAAGTATCATTTATCTGTTAGTCATGCTATTTATTGAACACGCATTAGCTGCACAATATTACTATTTCTATTGCCATTGTTCCCATGGTTATCATACGAGGAATAGTTATTGTTTAGTAACTGACATAATGAAATGCTGCTTCATTTATATCTGAAAAGGTTTCTGGGGGAGAAAGAATGCAAAAAATATCAACATATAATGTCCCTTTTATGCTGTCATATGACATTCTGCTTAAGCTTGTTTTATCATTACTAGTTGGGTATTAAAAATATACCATTGAATAACACGTAACGTAATACTTGAACATGTGTGTGACTTCATGCCTGTCTGGACATTAAAATGCCAAGATTGCTGGGAGTTTATTTATTTGTTTAAAGCTTTTCTATAATATCCTTCACTAAAAAGTCCCAGGATGGCAGTACAATGAAGTAAAAGTATACCACTGGAGGACAAAATTCGAATAAAACCCATCTTAGAACACTTTTTTATTCATTCAACTTATATCCCGCTGCTAACTAGTCTGCGGAGACTGTACGTGGATTACACCATTTCCTTAACAAGGAAAGGCTTGCATTCCTCTCCTTGCCTTAATCGTTTAAAACGACAGGCTGTGCCGGGAGGGACGACGGGGGAGGCAGCCCCGCCGAAATTCGGCTGCCTCCTCCGCGTCGCCCCCTTTCCTTGCGCTGCAGTTCGAGACCGCGAGCCCCGGAGGCCGTGCGAGCCCGTGCAGACGCCCCGCTCCTCGCGCCGGGAAGGGGCAGGAGAGCGCCGCGGGGCTGCGGGCCCGCCGCTCACCCGCCGCGGCCCCCTTTGCGGCCCCGGGGCGCCGGCGGAGGGGCCCCCGCTGAGCGGGCCCACGATCGGAAGAGCTAAGCGCCGGGAGGGCCTCTGCC